AGCCCAGGCTGGCCTTGAACTAGTGTTCGGCTTCAGCCTTCCCAATGCTGGGATGACAGGGATGCACCACCGTGCCTGACCTTGCTTTGTTCCTTTTTGTGTAGATAGGTTACATTTTGTGGATCTGTTTATCCACTGATGAACACTTGAAATGTTTGTATTTTCTGTCAGAGATATGACATTCATGTGCAGATTATTTGGGGGGGTATGCATACACCCATGTGTGATGCAGAAACCAAAGGTGTCAGGTGTCCTGCTCTCTTACTCTCCACCTTATTCCCTGGAAACACAGTTTCTCACTGAACCTCGAACTAGGCTTGAGGCTGATAAACCCCGGCGATCCTGTGGTCTCCACTCCCCACAGTGCTGGGGTTACGGGCACACACAGCCACACTTGGCTTTTTGCGTATGTGCTTGGGATTCAAACTTGGGTCCTCATGCATGTGCAGCAAGTGCTCTTACCCTCTGAGCCATCTCCTAGGCCCCATGTGCAGATTTTTATGTAGGAGTGTCATGGATTTTTTTCCCTGTGTGTGCTTCCTGTTAGTACTTACAATGTACACTTTGGAAAAAAGGTCATGTCTTCACACACTACTACCTGCCTTTGAACTAGATGACTTCTTAGCTGACTTGCCCCTCCCTCAGATTTGGGGGGCGGATTGTTGTTTTTATTTATTATTATTATTATTATTATTATTATTATTACTATTTTGAGAAAGGGTCTCCCTGTAGCCCCAGCTGGCCTGTAGAGCAGGCTGATCTCAGTCTCAGAGATCTGCCTGCCTCTGCCTCCAGAGTACTGGCTTTTGGTTCTTTTATTTGAGCAAAATGTAGCATTTTCACCATTTGTAACTAAATAATTTGGTAGCGCTTAAGTAGATTCCCAGTATTGTGCAAACACTTCCTTATTTACTCAGTTTTTTAAATCTTTCTGTGGGGAGGGGCGCATACATGCATGGCATACATGTGGAGGTCAGTGAACGACCCCAGGTGTCAATCTTTGTCCTTCCCTCCACCTGATGAGGCAGGGTCTCCTGTGAGCTGCTGCACACAGCAGGCTAGCAAGCCTGCTAGCCTCCAGGGGTTCTGTCTTCACCTCCCAGCTCAGCATAGGAGCGCATTGCCGTGTCCAGTTGTCCCTGGGGTCTAGGGATCCAAACTCACTTTTTCACACTTGTGCAGCAAGTGCTTTACCCATTGAGCCATCTCCTCATCCCTCATTAACTCTGTTTTTGTTGCATTTTTATCATGGTACAGTATACATATCAAAATTTACCATTTTACCCTTTAAAAATGTTCTATTTTGTCGGGCGTGGTGGCACACGCCTTTAATCCCAGCACTTGGGAGGCAGAGGCAGGTGGACCTTTGTGAGTTCAAGGCCAGTCTGGTCTACATAGTGAGTTCCAGGACAGCTGGGGCTACAGGGAGACCCTGTCTCAAAAAGACAAAACAAAAGTTTTATTTTTTATTTTTTTATGTGTATGAGTGTTTTGCTTACATGTATGTAAGTGTACCATATGCATACAATGCCTGCAGAGGCCAGAAGAGATCCCCTAGAACTGGAGTTATGGGTCATTGTTAACTGCCATTTGGGTGTTGGGAACTGAACCCAGGTCCTCTGCAAGAAAATCAAGTGCTCTTAACCACTGAGCCATCTCTCTAGCCCCTCTTTTAGCCCTTTTTAAATTGTTTGCATTGCTAGAGATTAAACCCAGGCCTTGTGCAGGCTAGGCAAGAACTTTACTGCTGAGCTGAATTTCCAGTGCCCATTTCAACCTTTTGTTTTCTTCAAAGAGAAGACCTTATGTCTCCTGACTGTCCTCAAACTCAATACGTAGACAAGGACGACCTTGAACTTCTGATTCTCCTGCTTCCACTTCCCAAGTTCTGGGATTACAGGCATGTACCACAGCATCCAGTTTATGCAGTGCTGGTGTTGGAAATCAGGACTTTCTGCATGCTAGGCAAGAGCTCTAACTCAACTACATTCCCAGCCCTGCTTTAGCCATTTCCAAATGAGCAATTCAGTGGCATTTACTGTATTCCTAATGCTGTGCAATCACTGTGCCATTTATTCAACTTTGAGGAAGTGTTTATGGAATGCTTACTGTATACCAGGACCCAAGGTGTCACTTGAGCAAGGCAGCCTCTGCCATCATGGCCAGGGAAGCTCGTGTCCCAACAGACAGACTAACATAGAGTCAGCTGCCTATTTTTGTGGGATCTACATCCTCAGAGGCTAGCAGCCTCAGATCAATACTATTCTGAAAAAATAAAAGTATCTGTCCTGAACATATAGTCTTTTTTAGTCATTACTCCATAAGCAGAGTAGAAGAACAAATATTCATACAACATTGACACTGTATTATCTATTATAAGTCATCTAGAGAGATGGTTTTAACAGTCTATGGAGGGCTGAGGAGATGGCTCAGTCAGTAGAGCTCCTGCCACACAAATATGAGGACTTGAGTTCAAATCCCCAGCATATACATCAAAAAAAGTCAGGCATGGTTATTTGTGCCTGTAATCCTAATGCTTGAGAGGTGGACACAAGAGAATCCCCAGATCTCACTGGCCAACCAATTTAGAGTCATCAGCAACTTCCAGGTTCAGTGAGAGACCTTACCTCAAAAAAAATAATGTGGAGTGGGGGACTGGAGCAATGACTCAGCAGTTAAGGGCACTGATAGCTCTTGCAGAGGACCTAGGTACAGTTCCCAGCACCTACATGGTGGCTAACAACCATTCTTAACTCCAGTTCCAGAGATCCAACACCCTTTTCTGGTCTCTGTGGGCATTGCACAACATAAGCACACTTACATACATGCAGGCAAAATACTCATACAAAGAAAGAAAGAAAGAAAGAAAGAAAGAAAGAAAGAAAGAAAGAAAGAAAGAAAGAAAGAAAGAAAGAAAGAAAGAAAGAAAGAAAGAAAGAAAGAAAGAAAGAAAGAAAGAAAGAAAGAAAGAAAGAAAGAAAGAAAGAAAGAAAGAAAGACTTTAAATTAAAACTGATCAGAAGGGACAAAGAGGGCCACTTCATTTTGCAAAAAAACAATGAATCAAGAAGTTATTACAGTCCTGAACATATATTCACCAAACTCTGGTGCACCCAACTTCATAAAAACAACAGTACAGGACTTTAAGACACAGATTAACCCCAACTCAGTAATAGTAGGGGACTTCAATATGTCACTTTCTCTATTAGACAAGTCAACTGGACAAAGAATAAACAGAGAGACATCTGAATTCAATGATACCATACATCAAATGGACCTAACAGACATCTTTCAAATATGCCACACAAGCCCCAAAGAATATGCTTTCTACTCAGCTCCCCATGGAACTTTTTCAAAAATTGACTACATACTACTGGGCCACAAAAAAACCCTCAACAAATATGAAAGAAAGAAAGAGAGAAAGAAAGAGAAAGAAAGAAAGAAAGAAAGAAAGAAAGAAAGAAAGAAAGAAAGAAAGAAAGAAAAAGAAAGATAGATGTTGGGGAACCTGCTGCTAGGGTTGCAGTCCTCCATGTCGTGATAGCTCTAAGGGGTTCAGCGCTATATGGAAGGACTCCGCTTCTCAGCAGGGGGCCTCCTGCTCTCTGCCTGACTTACCTGGAAAGTGCCACCAAGCATGAATGCCTGACCTTATTTGGAACATGACCTTTGGCATAGTTACCTGGAGTAAAAACTACCCCCAGGTTTTTTCTATATGATAATTAGGCATTGCCCGATAGTCGGATGATAGGATCCTGCTACCACATGTAAATAAAGCATACTCTGAGCACCTATCAGCTGAAGCATTGGCTGCTGCCTCCACACTCTATTTTCCTTAACCCCCACTGAATAAACAGAGCTGATTCACTGAGTCTGGAGCTGTTTGTATCACTGAACCTGCCTCCCCGAAAGGGCTTTCTTCCGTCAGTGCTCACCGGCCGTCCTGACCCCGTTCATCGTTTCTGCTCCCTTTGTCCTCATGGACCAGTGGCCAACGACCCACGAGGAAAGGGAGAGACCCCACAGAAAGAGGAGAGTAATCCAAGAAGACATCTGATGTTGACCTGTGGCCTCCACACAAATGCACACACACACACGTGCACACACACAAGCAGTTTATGGAAGGGGGCCAAAAAGGCAGCACACACTTATAAGCCCAACACTTGACAGGCTGACAAAAGACTGTGAATTAAAGGCCAGCCTGGGCTACCGAGTAGAATTCTGTCTCAAAAAAAAAAAAAAAATCAAGGGCTAGAGCTGGAGAGATGGCTCTAGTCAGTAGTGTTTGCTACTCTTACAGAGCACCCTCAGTTCAATTCCCAGCACCCACATCAGATGACTCACAACTGCCTGAAACTCCATCTCCAGGGGGAACTGATGCTCTCTTCTGGTCTCTCTGGGCAGCTGCACAAAGTTCACATACTCACACACACATACACACATACATAATTTTAATTTTTATGTGTATGAGTGTTTTGCCTGCATGTATGTAAGTGCATCCATGTGTGCAGTGCCTGTGGAGGCCAGAAGAGGGCATCAGATACCCCTGGAACTGGAGCTACAGACAGTTGTTAGCTACCATGTGGGTACTGGGAACTGAACCCAGATCCTCTGCAAAAGTAGCCTGTGCTTAACCACTGAGCCATCTCTCTGGCCCCCATAATTTTAAAAATTAAATAAATCTTTTTTTTTAAGGTTGTGACTTTAATTCAGTGGTGGAACACTTGCCTAGCATGCACAAGGCCCTGAATAATGATAATAACAAAGACTATGGGAACATATGTGTAGATATCATTTTATAAAAGGGGCTTGAGCATCCTTGAATATTGTCCTACAAAAGGCCTGTAATTCAGTGCCTTACAGTTACACAGAGACAGTTATACAAACAGAGATAATTATAGATAGCTGTACCCTGGAGAGGGGTACAGCGTCACAGGCTCAGCTGGGGCAGGGCTGCCCCTCTTCCTAGACACAGCCTTCCCTTCTCCCTGTGTCTCCAGATCACAATGAGTGTGCCACTGGCACTACATGCCTGAATGATCTGTGCATCAGTGAGAATGGGAGCTTCACATGTCTATGAAAACCCAGCTTCATGCTGGGCCCTGGTGGCAGCTCCTATGTGGGTGATAAAGACAGGAAGCTGGAGCCTGAATTTTGGAAGGTGATGGGAAGAGGAAGGAAGAGGAGCAGCATGGGGGGAGAATAGAGGAAGGAATGAGGAGAAAGTGTGAGAAAAAAGATGGAGGGAAAAGAGAATGGGGAAGGAGAAAAAGAGATGGCAGGAGGAGGAAAGGGAGGAGAGACATGGAAAAGGAGGGCTAGGGAAGGCTCAGGTGGTAAAATGCTTGCTGCAAAGCATGAGGACCTGAGTTCGATCCCCAGAACCCATGTAAAAATTTGGCATGGTGACACATGCTTGTAGTCCCTGTGTTGGGGAGCTAGAGACAGGCAGATTCCTGAAGCCGACTTGCCAGTCAGCCTAGCCTACTTGACAAGCTCTACGCCAGTAGAGTCTCTGTTCTAAAAAAATTAAGGGTGGGTGGGCTAAGGAGGTGACTCAGTGGGTAAGAGTACTTGCTGTTCAAGCATGAGAACCTGAGTTCGAATCCCAGCACCCGTATAAAAAGCCAGGTGTGGCAGCATGTACCTGTAACCCCAGTGCTGTGGGGGACAGAGACAGGACAATCACTGGGACTTGCTGACTTCCAGCCTAGTTCCAGATTCAGTGGGAGAACTTCTCTCAGAGGAATAAGGTAAAGAGAGATGGAGCAGGACATCTCACATCTTCTGGCCTCAGTGAGCATGCACACTGTGGACACACACACACGCACATGCACACACGTGTGTATATGTCACATATATATGCCACACTAACAGGCATTCAAAAGTGGGGGAGTGGAGAGTTGGAATATGGCTGAAGAAGAACACTGAGGTTGACATCTGGCCTCCACACACAGGTCCACAAACCAAAAGAAAAGAGCTGGAGTGCAGGCTGAGCGGTTAAGAGCACTGGCTGTTCTTGCAGACTAACAAGGTTCAGTTCCCAGCAACCACATGACAGCTAACAACCATCTGTAACTCCAGTTCCAAGGGATCTGATGCCCTCTTCCGATGACCGAAGGCATTGCAAGACACTGGTACACTTACACACATGCAGACAAAACACTCATACACATAAAATTAAATAGTAATGATAAGATTCAAAAGGAAAGACTTAGGAGACAGGATCTGCAGAAAGAGGAAGAGATGGTCAGGGAAAATGAAGGGGCTGTTGGAGAGGGAACGAGATGAGGGGAACCAGCTGGTACCACCCCAGCGTGTCCCTCTCATCTCGGACATAGATCAGTGCCAGACCGCAGGCATCTGAGTGAATGGCCACTGTGCCAACACCGAGGGGGTCCTTCCTCTGCCAGTGCCCTGGAGGGATGGTGGTGGGTGCAGGTGGCTCTGTGTGCACAGACACCCATATGCATAGCATGTGTTATGGGGCTATAGAGAAGGGCTCCTGTACCCACCCCTTCCCTGGCATTGTCACGAGATCTGAATGCTGTGCCAGTTCAGAGCATGGCTCTGGAGTTCCCTGACAGCCCTGTCCAACCAAGAACTCTGATGAGCATCCTCCTACCTGCTCCCCATCCACATCCTCAGCTCTGAGCTCCTTTGTTGATTCATCCTCCTTGGAGAAGGAAGTCCTTTTATTGGGGGCTCTTCCTAAGAAGAGACTAAAGGGGATTGTCCTCCTCTAAACCCTGGGGAAGTGGGGAGGGCACATCTGAGCCCCAGACTCTTGCCTGGGACCAATATGCAATGGCTGAGGGCATGGCTTAGGTTCTACAGTGGACAGTCACCCTGACTCACCATGCTGGGCTCTTCACCATCCACAGCTGAGTTCCAGACACTCTGCATCATTGGACTTGGCATCACCACAGATGGGTGAGGTGAGTGTCCTAGGTAGCTTTCTATTTCTGTGGTAAAACACTGACCAAACGCAACTTGGGGAGTAAAGGGTTATTTCAGGTTATGTTTCCAGGTCACAATCTACCATTGAGGGAAGTCAGAGCAGGAGCTCAAGCAGGAAGCTGGAGGCAGAAACCATGGAAGATGCTGCTGACTGGCTCACTCCCTGGCTCATGCTCAGCTATTGCTTATAACAGCCCAGGCCCTCCTGCCTAGGGATGGCAACATCCACAGTAGGCTGGGCCCTCCCAATCATCAATTAAAACAGCCCCTCACAGACAGGACCATAAGCCAATATGATTGAGGAAATTCTCCAACTGAGGTTCCCTTTTCCCAGGTGACTCTAGATGTGTCAAGTTAACAATACAAGCTCATCAGGACATAGGATTCCCTAAAATACCGAAATCCTCAGATGTTCAAGTCCCTTATATAAAATGGCATAGAGAGCTAGAGAGATGTTTCAGTGAGTAAAGCACTTGCTTTGTAAGCATGAGGACCAGAGTTCAGATCTCCAGAATCTACATAAATACTAGGTGGGCATGGTGGTCTACCTGTAATTCCAGCCTCAGAAGGCAAGCTGGCTAGTGAGATTAGCCATATTACAGAGCTCTGGGTTTGACTGAGAGATCCTGCCTCAATGAATAAGATGGAAGAGTGATCAAGGATGATCCTGACATCAACCTCATCCTCCACATGCACACACACACATACATGCACCCATATACACATTCCCACACAATACAAACATGCATATCACACACACACACACACACATTAAAATGGAAAAAAATAGGGACTAAGATGATTCAGTGGTTAAGAGCACTGGCTGCTGTTGTAGAAGACCTGGGTTTGGTTCCCAGCACCCACACGGCAGCTAACAACCATTCATAACTTCAATTCCATGGAATTTGCCTATGTGGGCATTGCATGCATGGTTGCACTTACATACATGCAGGAAAAACACATATGATATAAAAGTAATTAAAGAAAACTTTCAATGGAAAAATGTATAGAATTTGTGTAGAACCTGTGCACATATTTCCAGATACTTGATTAACTCTAGCTTACTTTGAACCTAACACAAAGGAAATGCTATATGAATAATCATTGTAATGCTTGTAATGTTTAGAATATAATGAAAGCATGGAAAGGTCTGTGTATGTTCAGTACACACAATTTTTTTAGTATTTTAGTGAGAGAGAGAGAGAGAGAGAGAGAGAGAGAGAGAGAGAGAGAGAGAATATGATGTGTGTGGTATATGCATGCACCCATGCCCTTGAGGAGGTCAGAAGAGGCTGTCAGGTGTCCTGCTCAGTCTCTCTTCACCTTATTCCCTTCAGACAGGGTCTCTCTTACTGAACTTGGAGCTAGGATGGCAACCAGAAAATCCCAGTGACCCTCCACCTCCCACAGTGTTACAGGCACTCATGCAGCCACACCTGACTTTTTTGTGTTTATGAGTGTTTTGCCTGCATGAATATAAATATACCACGTGCATGCAGTGCCCACAGAGGCCAGAAGAGGGTGTCAGATCTGGAGTTACTGATGGTTGTTAGCTGCCATGTGGGTGCTGGAAACCAAACATGGATCCTCTATAAGAGAAGTCAGTGCTCTTAACCACTGAGCCTGCTGTCCACCGCACATATTTTTATTATGTTCACCCCCATTACCTTCTCTTGTTCCCCCCCATCTAATTCCCCTTCTCATCTCAACCAGCCCCCTTTATACTTTTATGTTTCTCTGTGTGCATGTGTGTGTGTATGTGTGCGTGCGTGCATGCATGCGTGTGTGTGTGTGTGTGTGTGTGTGTGTGTGTGTGTGTGTGTGTGTCCTAATGCGTTTTCTTAGGGTTGCTTACAGGACCATGAGTGAAAGGTTATCTACAGAATCATGGGCAACTTAACAATGGCCACATCAGTGGAGAAAAAATCTCTCCCTCTCCCAGCAACCATTAAAGGTGTAAATCCTCATGAAGCATAGGGCCTCGTGAGCCCCTCCCCCTTCCATGATAGGGTGTTGACGGGCCACTTTTGGTTAGATCTTTGCAGGTTTCTGTAAATTTAAGGAAGTCAGTGTTCCACACCACTAACCCCACTTCCTCCAGGGCTTACACTCTTTCCATCCCCCCTCTTCTGTGATGTTTTCTGAGCCTTTGAGGGAGTAACACAGATATTCCTTTCATGTTTGGGCATTCACCAGTCATTTATTCTCAACACAATGCTTGGCTTTTTTTCTTTCTTTCGTTTGTGTGTGTGTGTGTGTGTGTGTGTGTGTGTGTGTGTGTGTGTGTTCCTCTTGTTCCTCTTCTCCCACTCTACATGTGTTCTGGGGATCAAACTCAGATTGTCATATTTACATGCTCAGGCTACAAGTGCCTTTACCCGCTTATCCATCTCAATGCTTCTCCCCCACACCTTGTTTTTTGAGACAGGGTCTCTCACTGGCCTAGAACATGTCTGGCCAGCAAGTCCTAGGGATCCTCCTGTTTCCACCTCCCCAATGCTGGGATTACAAATATGCACCACCAGTGCTGCAGAGATGGCTCAGCAGTTAAAAGCACTGGTTATTCTTGCAGAAGACCCGGGTTCGAGTCCCAGCACCCACATGGTAGTTAACAACAGTCTGTAACTGCAGTTCCAGGGAGTCCGACACCCTCTTCTGACCTCTGTGGGCACTTATATACATGCAGACAATACACTCATACACAAAAAAAGTAAAAAGAATAAAGAAAACATTTTAAAAAATAAATACCACCATGCCCAGTTTTTTACACAGGTTCTGGGGTTCAAACTCAGGTCCTCATGTTTCTGAGGCACTTATCGAATGAACCATCTCCCCAGTCCCAATCCTACACATGGTTATTCTCCCTCTCCCACAGGGTGGGTCTGAGTACAAAGCATTTCTAGGACTGAATCTCAAACTCACCTCAAAAAGTACATCCACAGCATCAGACACTCCAAAACCATTTTGTTTCCCTATATGAGAGTTTTATGACCTCAAGATTGTTGATCACCTTCGATTGTGCTTGGAGCACTGTCCGTGCATTGTAGGATATTGAAAGCATCCCAAGCCTTTGAGGCTTGATTGCCAGTGGTATTCCTTCACACCCATGATTGGTGTCAGTGGTCAGTAGTCACCAGCTGGGAACCAACCTTTTCATATGTGGCCAACTGACCACCTGCAGGCTATGTGTGTCTCACGATAGCTATGAAGGTGGCCCAAAACATTTGTAGGTGACAGTATGTATCATAATGTCAAAAGGTTGGACATCTCTAAGTGTAGGTGGGAGGGTCTGGAAACCCTCAGTTTATTGTTTTGTTTTGTTTTGTCTTGTTGGAAAAAGTAGACTGTGTGTTGCAGAGATGTCTCAGTGGATAAAGTGCTTGCCACGCAAACATGAGGACCTAAATTTGGATTCCTAACACCCACATAAAAAAAACCAGGTGTAGTAGTATGCATCTGTAACCCCAGCACTGAGGAGGCAGAGACAGGTGGATTTCAGGGACTCAATGGCCAGTCTAACTGAATGTGTAACCTCCAGATTCAGTGAAAGACCCTGTCTCAAAAAAAAATAATAATAATTTGGAGGGACTGGAGAGATGGCTCAGCAGTTAAGAGTACTTGCTGCTCTTACAGAGGACCTGGGTTCAGCTCTCAGCACCCACATGGTGACCAACAACTGTTTGTAACACTAGTCCCAGGGGATTTAATGCCCTCTTCTGGTTTCTGTGGACACGGGTGTACGTACAAATGGACAAAGCACTCAGACACATAAAATAAAATTAATTTTTTAAATTAAGATGGCTGGGCATGGTGGTGTATGCCTTTGATCCCAGCACTCAGGAGGCAGAGGCAAGGTGGATCTCTGTGAGTTCAAGGCCAGCCTGGTCTACATAGTGAGTTCCAGGACAGCTGGGGCTACAGGGAAACCCTGTCTCAAAAAGACCAAAAAAAAAAAAATTAAGATGAATAGTGATTGAGAAAAATTCACAACATTGACCTCTAGCCTCCACATACACACTCAAGCATGTGCATGATCACATTCATGTGCACACACATGCACACACACATACACACAAACTTACACACCACAAACATACTGTGACCAAGACTATGGCAGTTTTAGGTTCAGAGCAAAATTGAGCTAGGAAGATGACTCAGTGGATAAAGCACTTACTGCACTTGCATGAATTTGGATCCCCAGAACCTAAGTAAAAGTGGAAGATACTGGTAATCCCAGCACTAAGGAGACAGAGATCGGGGACCTCCAGGGCGAGCTGGCTGGCTACAGTAGCTGATTGGCAAGCTCTGGTCTCAACTGAGAGACTGTCCTTGCCTCAACAAATAAAGTGGATAGTGAAAGACATGACAATTTTGGTTTCCACATGCACACCCATACCCACACCTACACCCAGGCACACACATGCATATACAGTACACAAATATATACACTAAAAAAAAATGAGCAAAGCCCATGTCCCTGAATTCACAGCTTCACCATCATCATCATCCTGAAACCAGAACCATTGACTATTATACTCAATTGACATGTCATCATGACCAAGGGTTATATCCAACAAACATATATACAAAATCAGTTCATTTCTCAAAAGGCATTCCCCTTAGGGAAATACAATCATGCATTGCTCAACACAAGGAATGCCTTTTGAGAAATGAACTGATTTTACTGCTGCGTCAGCATTATACAACATGATCCACACAACTGTGGCATAAGTCAGTCACTTCATGTTGTCTCTTGATGCAACGGAGAACTAGGTTAGAGGTGGGAAGTGGCGTAGTGGTAGAGAATTTGCCAAGGACACTCCTGTCCCTTCACTGGGGAATCCTAGGCAGGGACTCTACCACTAAGCTACAGCCCCAGCCCTTTTGGCATTACTTTAAGGCTTCGATGCATGGAGTTGCTTAAAACAGTATTCAGGATACAGTAAGTATCCAGGAAGTACGGTAGCATCAGCCTCAGCATGAGGAAGCCATATCTTTTCTCTTTCCATCCATCTTTGTTGGGATGGGAAAGTCTTCAGGAAAGTGACAAGCTTGGACCCAGGGACTGACTGTTCCTCTATGCAGACATAAGGCTGGTACACAGAGATGTACAGTAACAGAGACAAGTTACACACACATATATAGTTACACACAGTGATACACAGAAATGTAGTTACACACAGTTACACAGAGATATACAATAAGTCAGGGACAACTTACTCATATATATGGGGTTATATAGAGAAAGACACATTTAGTCACAGACACTCAGTTATACACAGACATTTGTAACAGAGATATAGGAACACATAGACACAGGCAGTTACACAGTGATACACAGTAACAGTGACAGGTTACACACACATATATAGTTGCACAGAAACACACATATATGCAGACACACATAGTTACAACAGAGACAACTGTAACATACATAGAAACCTAGTAACACATAGACACAATTACAGACACTGACGTGCACATACTCATACACACGCACACACTACAGTTTTTCCTCTACTTGATAACCACCCTTTTCTGCCTGTCCAGACACCAGAGCTGGGAACTATTTCTTGGACACACATGACCGAGGTGACGGTGGCATTTCCTGCAGTGCAGAGGTTGGAGTTGGTGTCACCAGAGCCTCCTGCTGTTTTTCCCTGGGCCGGGCCTGGGGCACCCCCTGTGAGCCATGTCCAATGGACAGCACTAGTAAGTCCCTGCAAGACTCCCTAGTACTGTGGCCTGAGTCAGAGACCCAGGAGCCTAGGGGCCATCTCTGCTCACAGAAGGTTTTTGAGGGGACAGGGAACTAGAACCAGGAAGAGGAAAAGGCTCATTCTGAATCACAAAGCATGCCCTTGCCAGTTCATAGGCCAGGCCTCTTGCTAAGGTTACTTTCTGCAAATTCTCTGTGTGTTTGTATTCAGACTATCATTCAGTCAGTTAACAAATACTGGTAGTTCCTCTATGCCTCATGATAGGATCTGGGGATGTAGAGACACACAAGCCACAGGACTGGACACTAGACCTGTGAACCCACAGTCTTAGACCTAAGAGTCTATGTGAGGCTTTGCAATGTCACAGGAGAAAACCAAAGAGGAAAGGAGTAACACAAGGCTTCCCACAGCAGGAGGCTTGAGGCTGGTTTGGAAGGACCAGTAACGTTCCTAGAATAGTAAGGGAGAATAGGTGTGCAGAATAGTAGGAACAGCATATGCAAAGTCACTCCCTCATGTTACATTTGCCCACACATTGAATAGAAATACAAATTTACACACACACACATGCACGCGCACGCATGCACGCATGCACACACACATGCACACACATCCCAACATAAACACATACTAAACACCAAGTAGCCCCAAGACTGGCTGAGGTCACTTCACCCCAAAAGGTGGAGGTTATAAACTAACGTAGTTGGTACAGCAAAGATGGGCACCCATGCTTGAATCCTTCTTGGGGGTCTTCTTCCCCAGTTTCTTGTAGGTTTTATCCAAGTGCTCCTCTTCACAACCCTTCACCCAAGCCTATTTTCATTACAGCCAAGTACAGTACTCTGTGCCCAGGTGGCAGGGGTTTCTGGCCCAATCTCATCACTGTGATTCCAGAAGGTAAGTCCTAGCAGGCTGTCCAGTCACCCATGCACTAATGGTTGTGTCTCTAATCCTTACATCACCAAAATGCCCAGGTAGGCAGCCTGGGGGAATATACATCCCCACTTGGGGGCTTGACTACAAAACCAAGTTACATATGAAATAGTCTATTCTTTTAGTTGTTGGTCTCTTAATTGAGTTTTCCATCTATCCATCGACCCTCGATCCATCCATCGACCCATCCTTATATCCACCCTCAATCTATCCATCAACTCATCCTTCCTTCCATCTACCATCCATCCTTCCTTCCATCTACCATCCATCCTTCCATTCACCCTTGCATCTAACCACCTACCCTTCTATCTGTCTGTGCTGGATAGCTTTAGTGTCAACTTAACACACCTGGGTTGAGGGAGCCTCAATTGGGGAATTTCCTCTATGGGACTGGCCTGTGGCCATGTCTGAGGGGAATCTTCTTTATGAGTGATGTGGGAGGGTCCAGCCCACTGTGGGTGGTGCCACCCCTGGGCAGGTGGGCCTGTGTTGCATAAGAAAGCAGGCTGAGCAGGGGCCAGGGGAGCAAGTCAGTAAGCAGCGTTCCTCCATTGCCTGTGCTCCAGCTCCTGCCTCCAGGTTCCTGCCCTGAGTTCCTGCCTTAGGCTCCTGGATGAACTGTGACCTGGGATATGTAAGCTAAATAACCCCCCCACCTCAAGTTGATATTGGTCGGAGTGTTTTGTCACAGCAATGGAGAAACAGACTAGGACAGAAATTGGTACCAGAGAGTGGGATATTGCTGTGACAGACCTGACCTTGGTGTTTTTGGGAGGACTGTGGAAGTGTTTGAAACTTTGGGCTGGAAAAGCCATTGCATGCTCAGAGTTTGTTGGTGTGGAGCTTGGAACAGTTATGCTGAAAGAGTTGTAGATGATGGAGGCCTGGCTTGTGAAGCTTCAAAAGGAAGCAGAGACTATCAGGGCTGTTCCTATGATATTTTGAATTGAGAATCTGTGGGTTACGGTCAGCTGGGGCTGAAGAATCAGCAGTGATTAAGAAGAGATCAGAACCTGAAAACTTTTGCTTTACTGGGACAATTGATGCTGGTTAGCTGGGGCTGAAAAATCAGCTGTAAGTAACAAGAGGATCACTATGGTGGAGTCTTTTGGGAGGTATTTCCTCAGGGTCAGCACACAGAGGGGACTCGCACCTCTATTTCAAGCTGGAAGCAGGACTTGGTAATGTGTAAGAGTCTCCTGCATGGTTCTGGTGTTGAAAGCATGAAAGAGACACAGAAAGCAGCTGAGGCTTGGCACTCTGAGAGGCCAGGAAAGGCCATAGGTGAAAGTGCAGCTTCAGTTGCAGCAAAGACCCCAGGATTGAAGGGGTCATGGAGGGAATCTGAGGCCTTTGCACCCCAAAAAGCAAGAAGAGGCCACTAGTGAAGGTGTAGCCTCAGTTTCAGTGGAGACCCCAGCTTTTTGGAGATGCCAGGACCATGGGACAACCAACAATGACAGCAGTAGGTGTGGAATGGAGCTGGCCTGGGTATGCGAGATGAGCTGTGTGTGCCGTGGACAGCAGAGTCAGAGAAGTGGAGCTGCCTGAACCCTTTGGAACCCAGAATATTGTGAATGAATCCCAGATGTCCAGCCTTGAGCTACTTTGCTGGACTTTGGTTTTGCTTAGGTGTGCCCTATTCTTCCCTTTGAAATAAGACAGTACTTGTTTTGGATTTTACAGAAGCCCACCCACAGTTAAGAGACTTTTAAAAGAGACTATGGACTTTTAAGTGTTTGGATTTTTTAAGGACTGTGGTGTTTTTAAGGTTGTACTGTCTTATGTTGTGATGTTAACATCATATCTTGGGGACAGAAATTGGAAAGTTATGGTTTAATAGTGATGTTTGTGTGTCAAGTTGACAAGGGGTCAATTGTGCTGGATAGCTTTAGTGTCAACTTGACAGACCTGGGTTGAGGGAGCCTCAATTGTGGAATTTCCTCTACTGGACTGGCCTGTGGCCATGTCTGAAGGGCATCTTCTTGATGAGTGATGTGGGAGGGCCCAGCCCACTGTGGGTGGTGCCACCCCTGGGAAGGTGGGCCTGTGTTGCATAAGAAAGAAGGCTGAGCAGGGGCCAGGGGAGCAAGCCAGTAAGCAGCATTCCTCTATGGCCTGTGCTCCATCTCCTGCCTCCAGGTTCCTGCCCTGAGTTCCTACCTTGGGCTCCTGGATGAACCGTGACCTGGGATATGTAAGCTAAATAAACCCTCCCCCTGCCTCAAGTTAATATTGGTCAGAGTGTTTTGTCATAGCAATGGAGAAACAGACTAGGACACTGTCCTTCCATCCATTCATCCCATCTACCCATCCACCTATCTATCCTTTACCCACCCATCCATCCTCTCTTCCTTCTAGCCAAGTGTTCAGCAAACCATGGATTCCCCACCTACCCATCTGTTTTTCCATCTATTCATCCATCCCCCATCTAGTAATCTACCCACCCATCTATATCCCATCCACCAGTCCATCTATCCATTCATCATCTATCAATCCATTCACCCATTTCTTTTTCCAAATTAAAAAAAACGATATATTTTTATTTTATGTGTATGAGTGTTTTTCCTTAATGTATGTAAGTGTACTGATGCATATAATGTCCTCAGAAGTCAGAAGAGGGCATTGGATCCCTTGGAACTAGAGTTATAGGTGATTGTTAGCTGCCATGTGGGGACTGGAGACCAAACCTGGGTTCTCTGCAAGAAAAGCTAGGGCTTGTAACTGCTGAGTTACCTCTCCAAACCCCATCCATCCATATAATCCACCCATTATCCATCAATCCAGATGTTCACTCATCCACCAATTCATCCATCTATCTATTGTCCATTCACCCATATCATCCACCCATTCTCTGTCCACCATCCACCCCCATCTAACCAACTCTTTGCCTTTCCACCCACCTCGCACCCATCTTCTCATCCATTGACCTAGTTGCCATCCACTACTTTTCACATCCAGCCATTCATCCACCCATCAGTTCTATCCTGGGTAAGTGATAAGGGTAGAGAAGATATTCCAACTGAGGGAGCGATCATGAATGAGAGGATGAATTTAAGATGGAAAGAAAGTATTGGCCTCATACCAGCACTGACCCAAGAGTATGGGTTCCAGTCTTTGAGATGAACTCTCCAAATATCCAACAGTCATATCAAGAGCCCAGAGCAGCCTATGGGTTTCCCCCAGGTCCTCTCCTGGAATTTAGCTCTCTTTCTCATATTCTTCACTTCTTGACAGACACTGATGAATGCCAGGAGCTTCCTGGGCTGTGCCAGGGAGGTTGCGGGGTCCTTTCCCCACAAGCAGCATGATAGGGGGTGAGGAGAGGCAAGTGTGCTGCTGTCCCAACCCTCCATTCCCGAGGGCACCACCAAGGAGGAAGGGAGTCTGTCTTGCAGGATCTTGTTTATTAAGCAGCAGGCAGGCGTTTATATACATTTGTGAGCATTGGATGTTCCACCCCCATTCTCCCCCAAGACATGATTGGTCACAGCCACAAGCCCTAATTAGCATTTTAGGTTTCTGTTTCCCTGATCAGTTAAGTTTTCATTTCCTATCTCCCTTTGTCCACATGGCGGGGCCAAGAGTGGGAATCTCCTCCCCTCAACAGGGTGTGGTTTCTCTTCCTCATACCAGGTCCAGATGTTGAGATGAGATACAGGAGTTGGTGGGAGCCCACCAACAGTCTTTTGAAGCTAGTCTGGTCGCACTCCAGCTGCTTCTTCTGGCCTTTTTGCCTCCTGCCTTCTGCCTCAGGACCCTATATCTCCCCCAGTTTTATTTTATTATTGGCTCGTGGCTTCTTAGAGATAGCCCTAGGGATGGGGGTTACCACCCCCATCCCCTCTTATTGTGACTCCCCTGTCTTAGGTCACCTCCCCTCAGGGTCCGAAGTTGCCCATCCTTGGGTATCCATGATTGCCCTCAGTCTGGGAGGGTGTTGCCTCTCATTGGAAATAGTCACGTATAATTAATAGGGGTCTATTTCTCTTTTAAGGGTGCAAAACAGCCTGAGCTCTCAGGCCAGTTCCAGCACCCAGGCCTGGACTTGTCCAGGGTAGGGGCCTGAGGGTGACTGAGTGGCCAGGGCAAGCTGGACCAAGATTTTCTTCATCTGTCATTGTTTCTTGATGACTGAGCAGAGACATCTGAGGAGAACAAAATCTAGTACAAGCATTAGAAACATGGCTCTGTAGGCAAGTAACCAAGATGGGTCCAGGAACCCCTTAATGTGCTCCCATACCTTGCTGAAGAAGGAGGAGTCCATCAAGAGAACCAGGGCCCTGTTATAATTTAAGGCAATAATTTGATTGGTCAGCAATATGGAATAATTAAGGAACTGTTGATTCCAGTGACCATGAATATATTTAGAGTGCTGTAGACATGACTCAGAGGTTTTGGACCCTATAGGGGATAAGGCAGAGTGACTTATACCGGGGGTCACAGGCTAGCAGTGCCATGTCCTTGGTAAGTGCCAGCTCTTCACTTAGGAGGTCAATTTGCTGTTGTAAAGTCATAATCACTTAATGAAAGTGTTGATTAAGGAGAGATTGCATGTGAAGGGAGGAAGCGGTCTTAGAGACCAATGTATTTAGCATCTCCACTGTGGTGGTGGTTTGAGTCAAGGCCATCGCAGCTGTGGCAGCCCTCCCCAATGTAGGATGATAGCAGTGATAATTGCAGCTGTGACTCCAAAATCTCATTTTGCCCAAGGGGCCTGCACCATGGCAGTCCGCTCTATCAGAGTTACAGCATGGAAATGCATTGCATTGGTAACTGGAACCCAAAGGGCCCCAGGCTCATGCATGAAGAGGACAATGTGTGCAGGATAGTTCCAGCAAGCCGCCAGGACACAGGTGGTGTTGGTCTCAGAACAATTAAGCAAGGTTTGTGGGTCTGCAGTAACATTGGCCAATAATAGGGAAAAAGGAGGTTTCACACCTATGGGTGTAGGGGGCCAGTGGAGGGAGGAGCTGACCTGTGGACTGAAGGAATTTTTATTATTACAATTATTATTTTGATAAGTACCATTTTGAAGCACAAGGCCCTGGTTAGCGAGCAAAGGTCTCATGTCCATACAAGCGGTAGGGCCACAGAGATCCCAGTGGCCTAAGATAGTTGCCATGGGAAGAGGTGACCTGCAGGCCACAAGGCTTGACTTCTACCAGTTGTCTCCAGGACACCAGGGGATGGTTAGGAGGGGAGCAATTAAAGCAGCAGAAAGGAGAAGTGGCATGATTGGGCCGAGGGTGACAGTTTTGCCATGATATGGGAAGGGCGAGGAGAAAAGGCATGAAGGAACGTGTGCATGGGCAACTGGGGAGAGGCGGTCTCATTACTGTTGGGCAGAGTGGAGACAGAGGCGCCCCCCCTCCCTGGGCCCCCATCGCGGCAAGGACTGAAGCCTCATCGCTTTTGTTAAAGGTAGGGGAAAGGCCTTGGAGGGTAGGCAGAGAGCCCAAGGTCTCATTACCAACATAATCTTGAATTGTCAGGTTGAACAGCCCAATGCATGATGATGCATTACTGGTAGTAAAGCATAGGGAATCCCCTAGGGGCCATGACCCGATGATTGGTTCCCATGACAGGACAGGTTCCATGGTGGGAAGGCCAAGGGTATAATTAGTTGCATATAAGACGGGGTAGGCAGGGGAAGAAAGGGATAAGGGTAAAAGTATAGGCAGGGAAGGGACCAAGGCCCAAAGGTCCTCGGCCTTTATCTGGCTGATAGCCAGCAGGAAAAGGGGCACCATGATTGTCACCCTCTTGTCGGCCATCTATGGTCCCTTCTGTAGCTCACCTATCAGATCTTGAACAACGATGGTGACAAGGAAGATGATGATGGCCAGGGCAGCAGCGACAAGCACAGCAATGAAAGCTTTCCATCCAAAATATTCCATTCTGTAAGACATAAGGAGTTTCCTCAAAGGCTTGATACCCTTGGGATAGGATTATCCCTACATTTTTAGATTTCTTGCAGGCACCCAGATGGGCTGAGGCTCATCAATGGGAAAGACGCATCCAAATCCTCTGCCCATAGTAAGGAGTGGGTCAGGTCCCTGCCATTGTCCCATTAATGCATCCTTCCACCTGGCTTTAACCTGGGGTCTTGGGTCCAATTGTCCCCAGTGCCATTGAAATTTCGAGAGGGGTTGGTCTTTGGTCAAATTTAAAATATTGATCATGAAGAGTGCCAGCCCCAACTGCTGATAGGGGTTACTCCCCCTTTTTGTTTTTGTAATTGAATTTTAAGGTTTTGGTGGTTGCATTTTATAATGGCTTGGCCTTGGGGATTGTAAGGAATCCCTGTACTATGTTGGATGTTCCAAAGCAGGAAAAACTCCTGCAAACTCTTACTCACAAAACATGGGCCATTATCAGTTTTGATTTGGGGGGGAAGTCCCAGTGTAGCAAAACATTGGAGAAAGTGAGATTGAGCATGTTTAGACTTTTCCCCTGCATAGGCAGTGGCCCAGCAGGCATGTGAAAATGTATCAATAGATACAAAAACATATTTAAGTTTTCCAAAAGAAGCATAATGCATGACATCTGTTTGCCATAAAGAATTAGGTTTGAGTCCCCTGGAGTTTACACCTGGTTGTTGTAGAGGCAGCACCTGTAGGAAGGGCTGACAGGATTTACAGGTTTGTATGATTTTCTTTAGATCCTTAATGGGAATCTGAGGGAATCTCTCATGGAGACCCCACCAATTTACATGTGTGAGGTCATGTAATCCCTGAGCCTGATTTAAGCCCATTGTCATAATTTGGGTGGATGCCATTTTGTCTGCCTCAGCATTGCCCTGGGATAGAAGCCCAGGCAATCCTTGGTGTCCCCTAAGATGTTGTAGGAAGATAGGGGCTTTTCTTTCTTTAAGCAGCGTGCGAGTCTGAATCATTAAGGGAGTAATAGGGTTATCATCCAGTCGGATGTGAGAACATAATAGTCCTGGAAGAAGGTTAACTACATACAGACTGTCAGAAAATAAGTTCATGGGCTCATCTACCTTTGTTAATGCTAAAGCAATAGCCATGAGTTCCTTGAATTGAGCTGAGCCATCACAAATGTGGACATATCTTCTTGGTTTCTCATCTGCCCCTAGGTATACTATCAGTGCAGCTCCAAACTTGCCCCCGTCAGTGAAAACGTTACAGGCTTTCATTAATGGCTCCTTAACAAAGAGCAAGGGGGTGTCCCAGGAGAGGGCACAAAAGGAGGTTATCCATTTATGAGGGCCGTAATGATAGTCCAAATTTCCCAGGAACCCTTCCAAGGCTATGGCCACCTGGTTATTATTTCTGCAGAGCCATTCAAAATCCCTAAGCCGATAAGGGATAACAATTTTAAGAGGGTCTAGGCCATAATGTCTTAGGGCCAAGTCACGCCCCTTTTCAATCAAGTCAGCTAATTGATCCATGGGTATATAAACCCGTGGCACATCTCCTAGAGAGGCATGTACCCATTGAAGCGGCTTTACATCCTGCATAAGGACAGACGTCATCAAAATCTCACCAGGGAGTATCCATAATTCAAAATCTTTACTAGGAGTGTACCGGACAAGTTGGGCCTGGTCCAGGGCATCCTGGACTTCCTGTAAGACATGCAGGTGTTGAGGAGCCAAGTGAATTAGTTCTGAAGGCTTTTTTCCTATTAGCAATTGAAATAGTGGTGTTAAGGTCTCCGTAGAAACAGCTATCCAGGCTCTCAGCCAATTAATTTCTCTTAATAATTTTTGTAACTCTGTCAGGGTGATGGTGGGCTTGACAGCTAATTGTGGTTTTAAAGGGCTTACTGCCTCCAAAGAAAGCATGGTTCCCAGGATTTTAAAGGGAGCAACAGTTTGTATCTTGTCAGCAGATATGCGGAGCCCGCCTGTCTGTAGACATTTTTGGGCAACCTCATATAATTATCTTAATTGTTGGGGGCTCTGGGCTCCCAGGATAATATCATCCATGTAAATGTACACAATGGCATGAGGGAGCAAGAGGGAAGGCTCCAAAAGGGTCTTTACATAGTTTTGGCAGAATCCTGGACTACTGGCCATACGTTGGGGCAAAACAGTCCATTCATATCTTTCATCAGGCATTTTAAAGTTAACGGAAGGTACAGAGAAAGCAAACTTTTCACAATCCTGGGGTTGTAGAGGGATAGAGAAAAAACAATCTTTAATATCTATAACTATAAGAAACAAATATGAGGAAATAGCAGGGATCCAAGGCAGCCCCCTTAGGGGTGTACCCATTAGGGTCATTCTAACATTGATTTTACACAAATCTTGTAGCATTCTCCATTTGCCAGAGGCCTTCTTAATAACAAAAACCGGTGTGTTCCATGGACTTACAGAGGGCCGGATGTGGCCCCGTTGTAATTGTTTCTGCACAATTTCTTTCAGGGCCTGTAGCTTTGTTTCAGATAGTGGCCACTGCTCCACCCATACCAGCTCCCCCAGGGACCACTGGATAGCCAGAACCTGAGGGCCAGTGGCCCTTAGAATTGGGGGTGAACCCAGGGAATGTTATCGGGTTCTCCCCAATAATTATGAAAGTTGGAGAATTCTTGCTCTTTAATCTCCTCTAATCCTCTTGGGTGTCTGTTGAACTCTTCCTGTGCTAAGAGGTTTTCATAAAATGCCCATTATCTGTGGTCAAGACAGCAACCATTTGGCCTAGGAGGTCCTGGCCAAGCAGATTGGACTGCAAGCTGGGCACCACCAGAGGCTGGATCTCACCTCTAGATCCATCTGCGTCCCTCAATTCCAGCAGTCCTTGCACTTCCTCAGCTCTAGCAAGCCCACCCACACCCAAAACTTGTGGGCTGGGTTTTAGAGGCCATGCATCAGGTATTTTCTCCTTTCTAAGTATGGTACGATCTGCCCCAGTATCAATGAGACAGTGAAATCTTTTTCCCCCTATGAAAATGCTCATCTTTGGCCTGAGACCTTTGTAGATGGGAACTATGCAGTTGGTTCAAGTTATTCTCATCTCAGGTCCTCCTTTGGGTAACGGGGCTAGAGGCCACCCCGGAACTAGTTTAAAGGCTTTCCATTTACAACAAACTTAGATCTGCAGTCCCTTCTCCAATGATATCCCTTTCTGCAGCAAGGGCAGGGGTGTTTTGGCCTGGCATCTATCTGGTCCCCCTGTTTTAGGGTTTGTCCCTTTTCCTCAGGGCAGCCTCGCTTAAAGTGCCCTCTCTACCCACAGTTAAAACATTTCCCCCCTTCCCCTTCTCTTTGCTATGCCATCTGGGTGGAAGCAAGGGCCTGTGTCATAGCTTCCACCAGCGAAGCAGTTTGTGCCTGTAGCGGGCTAGTCAGTGTGTGAATCTCATGAGATCGGGTCCCTATGTCCTGGGAGGCTACAATCCACTGACTCATGGAGTTATTTCTAAGCCTGGAGCAGGCCACCCGGTGATCCTGATTCATGCCGTCCTATACCGTAACTCTTACAAATTCGTCCCGCAGAGGCCCAGGAGCCAATTTTCATATGAGACTTTTGCACCCGATCTATGAATTCAGGAAGCAGCTTGGAGGGCTTTTGTCTCAATCCTATTATAGGGTCCTCCGTCGGGCCCTCATTAAGCTTCCTCTATGCTGACAAGCCTGTGGCCTTTACTTGCTCTCTGTATAAGGGAGGGAGGGCCGCTTGCTGCTCCCCAGTAAAGTGGCCATCAGAGGTGCCGAACAGCTGCCCATATGTAAAAGGGATTGGGGGATTGGCTGTTTGGTTTTGCTCTGCTGTAATCCAGCACTCCTCTTTAAATAGTGCCTGCCATTTAACAAAAAGTAGTCCTGAAAGAACTGCTCTGGTCAGGTCATACCAATCTCTGGGTACGCAGGGCTGGTGAGCCAAGCCCTCCAGTAGAGTACTGACCCAGGGCGAGTTAGGGCCATCCTGTGCCACAGCCGCCCTCAATTCCTTGAGATCCTTGGCCTCCCAGGGGTACCAATCCCTGAGCTTCCCTGGTCCTGGGACCAAATTAACAGGGAAGGCTTGGCACGGAGATCAGGAGGGCTGCAGGGCCCCAGCTTTTCCGCATACCTCTGCAATTGCAGCACCAAGGGTGACGGGGAGAGCTCTGCATAGGCAGCATGGTTCGCTGGCTGGAGACTGGCTGGGCCCCATTGGAGAGTTTTATGGTCATCCGGCTGGCAACAAGAGACCTATTCAATGCCTCCTGCCCCTCCAGCTTCCTTTTGGGGGGCTTGCCTTCTTTGCTCACCCTCCTCTGCCTCTAGAGACAGCTTGGTCTGAAGGTCAGCTGTTGCAGCCTCCAACTGATTTTCTTGTGACCCAACCTGTCTCCTCTCCTCGTCAAACTGAGCCCAGTCTTTCTCTTCCTCATGTGGAGGGAGGGCACCTCCATCCCCCATCCCCCCTTCTCGAGAGGGGACGGATCCCCTGAAGCAACCCTTAAGGGCCAATATAGTGGGGTAGAATCCCAAAGGGGGTTCAGTTCCAAAATGCAGCACCCTTTTCCTAGCCAAGTCCTCCACCCTCTCCCAGGTCCCCACCAAGAACAGGTTAGCTTCAGGGACCCAAGGGGCCAAAAGAGTCACAGTCTCCCAGACCTGATTAGCTACAGAGTCTGAAACATCTAGCCCTAGGCTCTTAAGCATATAATGCAATGCTTCCAGGGCTGGTTCATGCTTCTTAGAAGTTGCGTTACCCATACTAAGGGTTTCACTCACCCCGAAAGACTGATTGGCCTCAGCTGAAATCTCTTCTGTGCCTCACACGGGACACCAGTTGTGGGGTCCTTTCCCCACAAGCAGCACGATGGGGGGTGAGGAGAGGCGAGTGTGCTGCCCTCCCAACCCTCCATTCCTGGGGCACCACCAAGGAGGCAGGGAGTCTGTCTTGCAGGATCTCATCTATTAAGCAGCAGGCAGGTGTTTATATACATTTGTGAGCATTGGATGTTCCACCCCCATTCTCCCCCAAGACATGATTGGTCACAGCCACAAGCCCTAATTAGCATTTTAGGTTTCCGTTTTCCTGATCAGTTAAGTTTTCATTTCCTATCTCCCTTTGTCCATATGGCAGGACCAAGAGCGGGAATCTCCTCCCCCCAACAGGGTGTGGTTTCTCTTCCTCATAGCAGGTCCAGATGTTGAGATGAGATACAGGAGTTGGTGGGAGCCCACCAACGGTCTTTTGAAGCTAGTCTGGTCACACCCCAGCTGCTTCTTCTGGCCTTTTTGCCTCTTGCCTTCTGCCTCAGGCCCCTACAGGAGGTGACTGCACCAACACCTTTGGTAGCTTCCAGTGTGAGCACCGTCTGGGATACCACCTCAAAGAAGATACCTACACCTTTGAGGGTGAGTGTGGCCTCTCCCCAAGATGGAGCAGGCTCATTCCATCCCTCCCTATCATCCTGCCCTGCCAAGCTTCATAAGATCAGGGAGGGAAGGCTGTATCATAAGGAACTGATTCACCCTCTGCTCTGCCACTGCGTCTCTCATCCCTCTGTCCAGCCCCTGTCCTTCTGCCTACTAATCATTTGGAAATGACATAGCTTATTAGAAACCGTGATGTTCTTCTGTTGGGCCAAAGCTGACAAAGGCCCATAGTTAACAATCATGGGAAGGAAAAGACAAGGACTGGTCCCCACTTTACTTCAAGCATGCTTCACCTGTCTATTGTTCCCAACTGAGCATTATGGTAGTGGCCAACAGTGAACTAGTGGCTAGGGTTGTGGGTTATCACTGTGCTAAGTACACTCCTTTTTTTAATTTAATCATTGCAACAACTCATGAGGGAGGTGTTCCTATCATATCCCATGTTTAGGATGTGAAAGTAAAATGACTTTTCCAGAAGCTCCAGCTAGTAAGTCATGGGGGCAAGCTTGAGCCTGAACTCTTTGATGCAGTATAGCAGTCAGACAACCACCATCCATTTGTCCATCCATCCATATACTCATCCATCCATTCTTTCTCCACTCATCTTCATTTATCCATTCATCTATCTATTCACCCACTCATCAATACATCCAACATCCACTTACCTATTCATTTTTCCATTCATCCACCCATCCACCCATCTTCCCATCCATTCATTTGCCCCATCCATTCCCCATCCATCTATCCATCCACCTTCAAACTTCTGTCCATTCCTCCATTGACTCAAACTACCCATATCTACTTACCCTCCTCTATCCATTTATCCATTTATCTGTATATCATCCATACACTTACCCACTCATTCATTCATCCATCCATCCATCTACCTACCCACTCATTTATCAATTCATCCATCCACCAGTCATATCCATCCATCCATTCATTTATCCATCCATCCATTTTTCTTCCACCCATCCTTTTTTTTTCCACTAACTGTTAACTGAGCACCTACCTTCAGCAGGGCATAGTAATCAGCATAACAATTGTATCCCACAGATGTTCAGCCTTCTAAGTTTGTTGGTAATGTCTCCACTTTTGTTTCTGGTTCATGACATTGGTTGCACAGTGACTATACCGTTTTACCTTCTTGTCAGAACACGGTTGTTAATGTATATATTTCATTGATGATTTTCATGTTTAAACCACCCTTGAATACCTAGATAAATCTCACTTAGTCATTGTATTAGTCAGGGTTCTCTAAAGGAACAAAATCAATAGAATATATTAGTTATTACATATACTTAATATGATTTATTAGATCAACTTATGTTGAAATAGTAACAACAGGTGTCTCACCTCTAAGAGGCTGAGAATCCCGTCACTGCTTGGTCCTTGTGGCTGAGTGGGGCTTCAGCAGTCAGAGTAGTCCCACAGTGTGTTTCTCACACCAGAGAGGCTGAGACTCTGGTAGCTGCTCAGTCTATGAGGCTGGGTACTTTGACAGTCCCAATCTAGCAGTGAAAGCCTGGAGGATTTTTGGAGAGCTGATGGTCCTTAGTGATGAAAATCCAGAAACACTGATTCTTATGTCAGTGAAAGAATCAGCAGCAGTAACAAAAGGGTAAATCAGCTTTCTAAAAAAGAGTTCTATTTTTGTTGATGTGTATGTGTGACTGTATGAGCATGTGTAGGTTCCCATGGAGGCCAGAAGAGGGCCTCAGACTCCACTGAAACTTGAGTTACAGGCATTTGTGAGCCACCCAATATGGGTGCTGGGAACCAGGGTCTGGTCCTCTGCAAAGCAGCAAGTGCTCTTAATCACTGAGCCATCTATCCAGCCCCACATCGTGTTTGCTTATTTTTATTTTATGTGGAGGAGTGCTGTGTGTGCACATATGTAAGTGCACTACTGCTGAGCCCCACTTCCAACCCCTAGTTTACTACTATTTATTGAAGATATTTACATTTATCTTCATAATGGATATTGTTCTGTAGTTTCCTTTTTTGTTTTTGTGTTGGTTGGTTGGTTGGTTGGTTGGTTGGTTGGTTGGTTGGTCGGTCGGTTGGTCAGAAGGTCGGTTGGTTGGTTGGTTTGAGACAGGGTCTCCTGTAGCCCCACCTGACCTCAAACTCACTATGTAGAGCAGGCTAGCCTCGATTTGCATTGTGAGCTGCCCAACATGGATGCTGAGAGCCAAACTCATATCCTCTGCAAGAGCAGTACTCTCTCTTAACTGCTGAGCCATCTTTCTACCCCTTCTTTGTGTTTTCTTCTAGAAATGTCTTCATTTGCTCTAGTTCATCTACTATTTTGGCAACAGTTAATCATGCTATTGTCATACCATCTTTTTGTTCCTGTATTGAAAGTTCTGCTCTCACTTTCTGGTTTTAGTTACTCACATCTTGTCTCTCATTATGAGTTCTATCTTCATTTGCGTTGTGATAAAATGTCCTAACACAAGCTGCATGCTGTGATGACAGCTTTTAAACCCAGCACTCCAGAGGCAGAGCAGATGGATCTCTGTTAGATGGAGACCAGCCTGGTCTACACAGGGAGTTCCAGGCCATCTGGGGCTACAAGGAGACCTTGTCTCCAAACAAAATATATCTTCACACAAAAGAAACATGGGGGGAAAGTGTGAGTATTTGGGGGGTGCTCATGCCACAGCATGCGTGTGGAGGTTACAGGACAGCCTCCAGCATTGGTCCCTCCACCTTGTTTGAGGCAGGGTCTCATTTGCTCCTGTGTACATTATTCTAGTGGCTACGAGCTTCTAGATGCTCCTGTCTCTGCACCCTGTCTTGTCATAGGATTACTGGAATTACACATGTGTGCTACTGCAGCCAGCTTTTTTGCTTGTTTGTTTGTTTTGTTTTGTTTTGTTTGTTGAGACACCATCTCCTTGTAGCCCTAACTGGCCTGGGACTCATTATGTACACCAGGCTGGCCTCAATCTCACCGAGATCTGCCTGCCTCTATCTCCAGAGTGCTGGGATTAAAGGTATGCACCACTACATCTGGCACTGCATCCAGGTTTTACATGGGTTCTGGGAATTAGAGCTCAGATCTTCATGCTTATTTGGCAAGCATTTATCTACTGAGCCATCTTGTTGGCCCAAATATCTGTATAATTTGTAAACTGGTGAAACCAAACTGAGACCAGTAATGAAGGGACTTCATTGAGCTTGGGATATGGAGTCACTCAGACAAGTACTAAAAATTCTCAGTGCCCCACAACCCTTCCATCCCCTGCAGATATCGATGAATGTTCTACCAACCCAGGCATCTGTGGCCCTGGCACATGCTACAACACTCTGAGAAAATACACCTGTGTCTGCCCTGCAGATTACATGCAGCGTAGCAGTGCCAACAACTGTGTGGGTAGGAACTGTGATGCCTTGGGGGGTACACAACTGGCAGTTGGTATAGCAGTACATGCATATGAGTGGAACTGTCTGGGCTTCTAAACCTTGGAAGAATGCCAAGAGAGGTATGTTTGGAAGAAGAAAGAGAGGACAGGTGAGAATGTTTGAAGTATTGATATGTGACATTGGGCTTAAGAGCCCAACACAGCTATAAATAGTTGCCCAGGTTATATACTGCTTGACAGAGACTAAACTATAAATGGCACCCTCAAGTGTTTTAGGCAAAAGACATCAAGCTAATGATATTGAAATGAATCCATGGATAAGTTCTCCATTGGTTCTGCACTCTCTTCCTCTGACTTAGACACATTACCAAATCAATTATTTTTATTTTGTATGTATGAGTGTTTTGCTTGCATGTATGTAAGTGCACCACAGGTGTGCAATGCCCATGTAGGCCAGAAGAGGGCATCAGAAACCCTGTGACTGGGGTTACCAATGGTTGTTAGCTGCCATGTGGGTGCTGGGAACCGAACCCAGGTCCTCTGCAAGAGCAGCCAGTGCTCTTAATCCATAAGCCATCCCTCCAGACTCCCATTCCTACATTCTTTATTGTTACATTTCATTCATTTAATGCATGGGAAGTGGGGGGCTGCATGCATTTGTGTGGCACATGCGTGGAGGTCAGAGGACAACTTGCAGGAGTTGATTCTCTCCTTCCACTATGTCGATCCTGGGGGATCATACTCAGGTCTTCAGGCTTGGCAGCAAGCTCCTTTGCCTGCTGAGCCATCTCACCAGCCTGAAGTCCAACATTCTTTGTCCCTCCCTTCAACCGCAGACATGAGAAAGAGCACATGATTCTGGCATTATAATGGCACATGTAGGAATGAACTGACCTTCAACATGACCCAGAAGATATACTGCTGTTCCTACAACATTGGCCAGGCCTGGAATAGACCCTATGAAGCCTGTCCCACCCCTGCCAGCTGTGAGTGACTGTCTTCATTTCATTTCCTGTTACTGTGATAAAATAGCTTGACAAAGCAACCTGGGGGAGAAAGGGTTTATTTTAACTCACAATTCCAGGTTTCAGTCCATCATGGCAGACAGGAGCTGGAAGCAGCTGATCACACCCACAGTCAAAGGCAGAGAACAATGAACGGATGCATGCATGCTTGTGTTCAGCTCGCTTTCTCCAATCCTTTTCTTAAAATATTTATTTATTTTAATATTCTGTTTGAGTGTTTTGCTTACATGTATATAAGTTCACCCTGTATGTGCAATACCCATGGAGGCCAGAAGAAAGCATCAGATCCCCTGAAACTAGAGTGACAGATGGTTGTTATGTGGGTTCTGGGAACTGAACCCTGGTCCTCTGCAAGAGCAACCAATGCTCTTACCTGCTGAGCCATAGCTCCAGCTTTTTCCACTCATATAATCCAGGGCCCAGGCCCAGGAAATGGTGCCACCCATAGTGAAATCAAGACAATCCTCCTACAGACATGCCCACAGGCCAACCTGATCTAGATCATCCCTTACTGAGACTCTCTTTCCAGGTGATTCTAGATTATGTCAAGTTGGCAATTAAAACTAATCATCACAGTGCACTTCCCTTCCTCCTTCTCAGCCTGGATCTTCCCAGGACAGGGTACACTCAGGGCTTCTAAACTAATCTGCTGTGTGTGTGTGTGTGTGTGTGTGTGTGTGTGTGTGTTATATGCATGTGGCAGGGGAGTGTGCTTGCTAGTACATCCATGTGTGGAGGCTGGAAGTTGACATCAGGGTATCTTCCTAAATCATTTCTCCACCTTATTTTTTGAGAGCTCACTATTTCCTCACCATTTTTTAGCTAGGCAGGCTGGCCAGCAAACTCTAAGGATCCATCTGTCTCTGCCTCACCAATGCTAGGATTAAAAGCAGGCACCACTACATCTGGCTTTTTTATTGTTATTTTGTGTGTATGAGTGTTTTGCCTGCATGTATATAAGTGCACCCATGTGTGTGATGCCTATGGATCCCAAAAGAAGGCATCTGATTCCCTGGAACTGGAGTTAAGGATGGTTCTTAGCTTCTATGTGGTGGTTGGAACCAAACCCAGATCCTCTGCAAAACAGCAAGTGCTCTTAACTGCTGAGCAATCTTTCCGGGCCCACTCAGCTTTTTTTTTTTTCAAACATGGGTTCTGGGAATTGAACTCAGATCCTCATGCTTGCAAAGCAAGCACTTTACCAATTGAACCACCTCCCTGGTTCTCTAATCATCTTCTTCATCGTCTTTGTCTTCTTTAACAAAGGCAACAGGCACTATTGGTGTTGCTCACCAAAGGAAGACATGGGGAGGTCTCCCATCTGTGTGTTGGAACACAATCCTGCATAGACTTAGGGTAGCCTTGAACACAAGGATTCAACCAGAGTGCAGGAAGAAGGTGGGAGACCAGGTGAGAGCTGGGCTATGGAGGTGAAGAGGAACTTCTCAGGTGGATGATGTGATCTTCAGCTCTGTTCTCCTCTGCCCAGCTGAGTACCAGGTCCTTTGTGGGAACCAAGTCCCCAGCTTTGTCATTAATGTCCATACAGGAAAACCCGTTGGTAAGCAGATGCTTAACCCTCTGCTAACATACCTGAGCTCCCTCCCACCTAGCTCCCTCTCCCAAATGGCTCTTTCCTTTTCGTTTTCCCTCCTCATTCTCTCTGTGGTGCCAGCTCCCTTAAGAGTCTTTCCCAGAGCTGGAGAGATGGCTCAGTAGTTAAAAACATGGACTGATCTTCCAAAGAACCTGAATTCAGTTCCCAACACCCAAGTCAGGTGGATCACAACCACCTGTAACTCTAGCTCCAGGGGATCTGACACCCTCTTCTGACTTCCATAGGCAACTACAGCCATAGACACAAACCCACACAGGCACGTAATTTTTAAAACTTTTTATTTTATGTGTGTGTTTTGCCTGCATGTATATAAGTACACTGTGTGTGTTCAATGCCTATGGAAGTCAGAAGAAGGCATCAAATCCCCCCTGGAACTGGGGTTACAAACAGTTGTTAGCTGCCATATGGGTGCTGGGAACCAAACTTGGGTCCTCTGCAAGAGCAGCCAGTGCTCTTAACCACTGAGCCATGACACCAGATCCACACATAATTGGAAAGTAAATAAATATTTCTTTTAAAAAAGAATCTTGGGGGCTGGAGAGATGGCTCAGTGGTTAAGAGCACCAGCTGCCTTTGCAGACCCAAGTTCGGTTCCCAGCACCCAGTGATGCCATCTTCTGACCTCCAAGGGCATTGCAGGACATGGGTGCACTTACATGCATGCAAGCAATACACTCATATGCATAAAATAAAATGAAAATAATAAAATAAAGTATGTTTTAAAAAGCATAGCCCCAATACTTCCTTTTTGTATTTTCCTTTTTAAAAATTATTTAATTATTCATTTTTATTTTTAATTATGTATATATGTATGTGTCTGTGTGTGCACATAAGTGCAGGTCCCTGTAGAAGCCAGAGGTGTTGGATCCCCCAGGAACGAGAGTCACAGGTGGCTGTGAGCCACTTGATATGGTTGCTGGGAGCTGAACCCAAGTCTCTACAACAATAGCACATGCTCTAAACCACTGAGCCATCTATCCAGCCCAGTTTTTTACCTTTGAGTTTTAAGTTATTTACAGTGAAAAATACAGGTTCCTGATTTTTTTAATAGCATATTTTCTTCGAAAAATTTCACACATTTTACAATGTATTTTGACCCTATCCATCCACCACTACCTCCTTCAAACTCCTCTTAGTGCCTCCATTCTATCTCCCTCCCAACATGTGTCTTTCTTTGTTGTTGTTGTTGTTGTTGTTGTTGTTAATAATCCCCTGTTCTATTTTGTGTCTTCATTGCTGAGATAAAAACACTGACCAAAACCAACTTCAGGAGGAAAAGGTTTATTTTATCTTACATCTCCCACATCACAGTTCATCACTGAGGGAAGCCAAGGCAGGAACTCAGGGCAGGAACCTAGAGCACAGACCATGGAGGAATACTGCTTACTGGCTTGCTCCTCTGGCCTGTGCACAGCCTACTTTCTTATACAACCCAGGACCACTTGCCCAGGGATGGTATCACCCACAGTGGGCTGGGCCCTCCCACATCACTCAACAATCAAGAAGATGCCCCACAAGCCAATCCAATAGATGAAATTCTTCATTTGAGGTTCCCTCTATCCAGGTGTGTGAAGCTGATAACTGAAGCTATCCAGCATACCCCTGAGTCCAGTTAGTGCCGCCTATGTGTACATAGGTGTGGGACCATCCACTGGGGTGTGGGCAACCTACTAGGGATGTCCCCCAAAAAGAGTGATCCTTCCTCCCTCATCAGCCATCAACAGTGAGTAGCTCCTCCTCCAAGGGTGGGGCCTCTGGGCTCCTCCCTATCCTTGCTGGAATTTTGATTGGCTTGATCTTGTGTAGGTCTTGTGCAGGCAACCACAGCTTCTGTGAGCTGTGCAACAGCCATGTCATGTCCAGAAGTCAGCATTTTACAGCCCTCTGCCCCATCTTCTGGATCTTATTCCCCCCACCTTCCACAGTGTTCCCTGAGCCTTAGATGGAGAGTCTTTGCGGGGTGCTTGGGGGAAGGAAAGCGGGTTTTTGTAAGACAGTCTCGCTTTGTAGCACAGACTTGCATGGAACTCACCATGTAGCCCAGGCTGACCTCAAAGTCTCTATAATCTTCCTGCCTCAGCCTCTCAAGTGCTAGGATCATAGATATGAGCCATCACACCCAGCTTGTTCAGGACTTTTTTGTTTTTTTTTTTTTGTTTTTTTAAAAGTGAAGTTCCACTATGTAGCCCAGGCTGATGGTGAACCCATGGTCCTGCTGCCTCAGCTTCCTGAATGCTGGGCTTACAGGCAGGTAGTCCAATGCCCAGTTCTAGATACAATTTGTATTTTTCTTTGATTAGTTGGTTGGTTGGATTTTTTTGGTTTGGTTGATTGGTGGTTTTTTAAGACAGAGTCTCATTTGTAGTAGAGGCCAGCCTCCAACTTGCTACGCAGCCAAGGATGACTTCAACTTCCAGTTCTCCTGCCTCAATGTCCTGAGTGCTGGGAGTATAGATATGCACTGCCATGCTTAGATTTTACAGTGCTCGAGGTGGAAATCCAGGACTTCCTACATGACATACAAGCACATCTTCAACCCCTTGTGGGAGTGGTGTGTGTGTGACTGTGTGACTCTGTGTGTGTGTGTGTGTGTGTGTGTGTGTGTGTGCGCGCTGTTTTGTAGTGCTGGAGATAGAACCCAAGGGGTCTTGCACATGCCTGGTGAGCACTCTACCTCTAAGCTATATTGCAGCCCTAACAGCCCTTTTTTAATTAAGACTACTTCTTTCTCTCACCTCTTCTTCCACATCCTAACCTCTTTCTGAGTGAATACAGCAGGACTTGTGTAGCACATGCCATTCTGCCTGTATCTTCTCTCAGACTGCAAGGACAGAGTACCCAGAAGGTCCCTGAGGCTGGGCTGTCTCTGATGGCTTATGTTCCCATCCAATCCCCCAGATATTGATGAGTGCAGGGAGATTCCGGCCATCTGTGCCCATGGCGTCTGCATCAACCAGATTGGGAACTTCTATTGCAACTGCCCCATGGGCTTCGACTACAATAGCAACCTGCTGGCCTGTGAAGGTGCAATGCACACACACACACACACACACACACACACACACATACCGTCTCCAACTCTGAGTAGACACAGATCCTCTCTCTTTCACTGTCTGTGTCTGTCTGTTTATCTCTCTTTGTGTCTGTCTCTCTATCTGTCTGACACACATATATGCATGCTGTCCTCAGCCCTAGGGTTGGAGTGGGACCTCTCTCTCTCTCTCTCTCTCTCTCTCTCTCTCTCTCTCTCTCTCTCTGTCTTTCCCTAACACACATACACACACTGTCCCCAGGGTTACAATGGCATATATTCTCATTCTCCACCCTACCCTACTCCCTCCCTCCCTCTTTTCCTTTCCCACTCCTTTCTTTCTCACACACACCGTACAAGGTGAACATGCCATATACAATCTCTATGAGCCTCAGTCTCCCTATATATATAATGGTACTGATGTCTTCCCAAGGGTCTCCATCCAGTATAACCACCTTCACCTTGATTCTGGTTATTTCCAGAAGGCTCCAAAGGCAGGTTTGGGGTTCTGTCAAGGTGGGCTTCTCTTTTACCCCTAACCCATTCCCGGGATTCCCAAGATGTGGATGAGTGTGCAAACCAAGAGATCCCCTGCCAGAGGAATGTAGACTGCATCAACATCCCTGGAAGTTACTGATGCGAGTGTGCCCGAGGGTTCAAGCTGACCCCCAGTGGAGCCTGCATGGGTGAGTAGAATCCTGCAGGAGCCACAGATCAGACTAAAGCAGAGCAAAGGGAAGGGACATGAGGGTGTCAGATTTTGTGTCCTGCAAAACAGGTAGCACATGACTCTGAGCTAGAAGACAAGCTGAGAGCTTCCATCAGTAGCACTGTGGGAAGGGTGAAAAAAGATGTGATGGGTGGTAACTGGGTGTGATGTTGGCAGCTTGAGGTTCTCAATGGGAGCATGAATGGGGGCTCTACCTCCTGCCACACACATATTGCATAATGGGAAGCTCAAGGAAACACTGCCTCATTGCCTACACCCCTCAGGATGGAACAAGTGTCAGAGCATCCCAAATGTCTGTAATCACGGTGACTGTGTAGACACTGAGGACAGCTACGTTTGTCTCTGTCACCATGATTTCTGAGCCTCAGCTGACCCAACCCTGTATCTGGGTGAGAACCACTTTATACTTCCTCCTCTCAGGCCAGGCTCTCAGCATGTTATCCTCTTCATCCCTCCCCTGAGTTGATGATTCATCTATCCTGTTCACACATATACACAACCAAGTTGGAACCCAGACACAAAGGTCTTGGGGGTCTGGGGCTGTGTTGTCCTCCACATACCTCCCATCTGTCAAATGGGAGCCATCAATGGTACTTCCTAGTCATCTCTTCTAGGGGTCACTCCCCAGTCAACTGAGCAGAGTTATATGTAGAGAAAGAAGGCTGGGTCTAGCCAGTTTTTGTCACCCCCACGACTGCCCCTATTATCACCATCACCACCACCACTCCCAACATCATCACTCTATCACCATCACCACCCCATCACCACCACCACCATCCTCACCATCATCATCACTACCACCACCACCCCATCACCACCACCAGAATCACCTCTACCACCACTGTGCTAACCAAGGGCCTTGGGCAAGTCTAGTGAACTCATAAGTTCTGCTCTGTTAGGCCTTGATGAGTGTGACCAGCAACTGTGTGGAAACGGGAACTGCAGGAACATCATTGGCTCCTACATCTGCCTGTGCTTCCCTGGCTTTGTAGCAACACACAACAGGGACTGTGCAGGTGAGGGGGCAGGGAAGCCAAGCTTTAGCGTCCCTCTCTAAAAAGTGGCCCTAAAGTCAGTGAGATGGCTCAGCAGGTGAAGGCACTTACCACCAAGCCTGATGATGTTGATACCTGGGTCCCACATAGTGGAAGGAGAGAATCAACTCCCACAAGTTGTCCTCTGACCTCCACAGGCACACCATGCACACCATGGCATACACACATACAGAGAGAGAGAGAGAGAGAGAGAGAGAGAGAGAGAGAGAGAGAGAGAGAGAGAGAGAGAGAAAGTGTAATTTAAAAGAATAGATTTTTAAAGGATTTTTAAAATACTTTTATTTATTATTTTATATGTATGTGTGTATTGCCTGCATGTAGGTAAGTGCACCTGTGTTGTGCAATGCCCACGGAGGACAAAAGAGGCTGTCAGATCCCCTGGAACTGGAGTTATTTTTATTTTATGTGTGTGAGTGTTTTGCCTGCATGTATGTAAGTGCACTGGCCCATAGTCAAAAAATGGCATCAGGTCCCCTGGAACTGGAGTTATGGACAGTTGTTAGCTGCCATGTGGGTGCTGGGAACTGAACGCTGGTCTCTGCAAGAGCAAAAAGTGCTCCTAACTAATGAGCCATCTCTTCAGCCCCAGATTTTTTTAAGTGGCTCTGTTGTTATAGGTGCAGACCTGAGTCTTGAGGCACTCACCAGAGCACCCTAAAAACACTCTGTGTGTGTGTGTGTGTGTGTGTGTGTGTGTGTATGCCATGGTGTGCCTGTGGAGGTCAGAGGACAACTTGTGGGAGCTGATGCTCTTCTACCAGGATACAGGTTCTTGGATCCTCTGGCAAAGAACTGAGGACAGTGGTTAGAAAAAGGAACAGAAAGCTGGGCCTGCCTGGGCATGCACTCAGGATGGAGAGGCAGATAGCTATCTGTGAGATGGAGGCCAGCCCAGGCCCAGATCTCCCAGGCAAGCCCCAGTTCCAGCTGGGGCTACAGGGAGATCCTGGCTGGCCTCAAATTCACAGAGATCCTCGTGCCTCTACCTCTTGAGTGCTGGGATTAAAGGTGTGTGCCACCATGCCCAGATTTAGAAAATATTTTAATTAAATGAAAATGGAAACATAAATCTAAATGTGTGGGATGCAACTAAGAGAGTACTTAGTGACAAATTCACAGCATTACATGATTTTATGTTAGAATATGATAACACCTACTTCACAGGATGATAAGGAGCTTAATATACAGGATTTATGTGAGTCCTTAATGAGTTAAAGTCGAGCCATCAACTCAACTTAGTTGTGAACAGAAATGCAAGGAAGGCCCAATCCCCTTTGGGCTCTGTGGTGGCCATCTGTCATCTCCCCTCTACAGATGTTGATGAGTGTACCATCTTGGCGGGGCAAGTGTGTCAATTTGGCCAGTGCTTCAACACAGCTGGCTCCTTCCACTGTTTTTGCCAAGATGGGTTTGAGCTCACCGCCAATGGGAAGAACTGTGTGGGTGAGTTGCTCCCTCTGCTCTGGGCCCTCTTCCTCATATACCTGCAGTTGGCACTACTATTGTTTTGTGTTTGTTGTTTGTTGTTTGTTTGTTTGTTTGTTTGTTTGAAATAGGTCTCACTGTAGCCCCAGCTGGCCTGGAACTCACTATGTAGACCAGGCTGGCCTCAATTTCACAGAGACCCACTTTCCTCTGCCTCCTGAGTGCCAGGACTAATGGCATGTGCCACTGTGCTCAGTAGTTGGTACTTTTGAATGAGCATAGTTCCATTTAATATCTGTACATTTTTAAGGTATTAAAAGCAAGAACTACCTATGGTTTAGGGTGAGGCTGTCTTGAAACAAGAATTTTATAAAATAACAAATAGATGTGCTGAATGGTTGGCACAGAGATCTTGGAGGGAATCTGCAAGTGGTTTGGCATTACAAATCTTGCTCCCTCTGTCACTCTGTCCACTATGACTCCACCTGTAACCCCACCAAGGCCAGATACCCTTCCTTCCTCTGATACCCCTGTTTTCTTGAGTCAGCATTTTCCTTGGCTCCAAAGCTGCCCCTAGAAGGGCTCATCCCCTCAGTCACTTGCAGGTATTGGGCAAAAACCTGGGGAAGCCCTGTACCTCCTCTCTAGCACTAGGATTCCCCTCATTTTCCCTCCACAGACATCAATGAGTGTCTCAGCCTTGCAGGAACCTGCCTGCCAGGCACCTGCCAAAACCTTGAGGGTTCCTTCTGCCGCATCTGCCCCCATAGCTTCCAGGTGCAGGCTAAACATTGCATTGGTAAGTATTCAACCTCATATCTCAGCTCTGGGGACCAGGATGGTGCCTATGTTTCCCCCCTTTAGAAAATAAGAACACTAGCTGGGGTAATGAGGTAGAGTGCGTGCGGCAATGCACCAAGCACAATTTCATACATTTGTATTGTTGGGGGGCTCCTGGCTCAGGGAAGAACTCTGAACTTCCTTCCCTCCAGGGCTCACAAATTTCTTTGTGAACCCTATGAAATGCACATGGCTTGGAGTATTGCTACAACCTTAGAGACACCCAGTACAATTCTCACTCAAGATGTAGTAAAGGGCCAATCTGGGCTGATCTCCACCAGTGTAATTGCCCACAAGGATGATTTCCTACCATCTAGACCAACTAGTCTGACCTGATCTTAGGTGGTTAATTCATTATGCTAGCCTCATACAGTGTATGTGGGCTAACCTAGACCAGTATGGCCTGAGCCGACAGATTAGTCTCATATAAAGTGAGATAACCTGGACCAGTCTGACCCAACTACTGCTGCTCTAGTCTTATATTTGAGCTAACCTTCCATAACCCTCCATAGACTGACCTGATCACATCTGATACTGTTTTCCATTTGGGCTAGCCTTGCATAATCTGGACTAACCTGGACCACTGTGACCTGACTGCTTCTGCTCCAGTTTCTTTCATCTGAGCCTTGTATAATTTGGGCTAATTTGGACCATTCTGACTTGAATAAATGTGCCAGCTTGTATAGATTGAGCTCGTTTAGACCAATCTAGTCTGGGCTTCTTCTAGCTTATTCTATCTGGGCTAGCCTGGTACATGAGCTGATGCCAACTAGTGCAGGTGAAATATCTCCAGACTCAGTTAGCTTTGTAAAGTTTTAAGTCTCTAAAGATGAACTTGGGTCAACTAAATGATTCAGCTGATAAAGGCACTTGCTGCCAAGCATGATGACCTGAGTTCAATACCCAGGACTCACATGGTGGAAAGAGAGAACTGACTCCTTCAAGTTGTCTCCTAACCTCCATATGCATACCATGGCACATGCCTATACACACATACACATACACATGTTCACACTAAAAAAATAAAGCATTAAAATAAGTTTTAAAGATGTCTAGCATGGTTGCACACCCCTTTAATCCCAGCACTTGGAAGGTAGAGGCAGGCAAGATCTGTGTGAGTTTGAGGCCAGTCTAGTCTACATAGTGAGTTCCAGGTTAGCTGGGGCTATGTGGAGACCCTGTCTCAAAAAGAACAAAATTAATTAATTAAATTTTTAAAAATTTAAACTATGAACTTCTCCTGACCATAACCCCTACTCTGAAGACACTTGAGAAAGCCCTCCACATACACACTGCTAGCCTAGTGCTGGTGGCTCATACTGCACCCATGGGTGCCCTACTCTCCTTTGGTCCTTAGAGTTCTTTTTTGAAGGGGGGATTTGAGACACAGTCTCCCTATAGCCCCAGCTGGATTGGGACTTGCTGTGTAGAGCAGCCTAGCTCACACAGATCTGCCTGCCCCTGCCTCCTGAGTGCTGGGATCAGCCACACCTGACTTTTTGTTGATGTTTTGATTTTTTTGCTTTAGGGCTTTTAGGGCTAGACTCTGCTCCTACTCCCTGACAAACCCACCTCACTCTGTCTAGAGGTTCTACCTGCCCCACTCCCAGCTCTAATCCCTGTCCTTGCAGACATGAATGCTTAGAGGAGCCCAACTTCTGCCTCTCTGGCACCTGTACCAACCATCCTGGGAGCATCCAGTGCCTGTGCCCCGCTGGCTTTGTCCTCTCTGACAATGGGCATCATTGTTTTGGTGAGTGTTGACAGAACTTTTTCTAAGAAAAATATAAACAAATATCTGCTCTCTCCCCACTCAGATACGATGCCGAGGACAGACCAAGGTAAGTTTCCATATAGTCCAGCTTAAGAAACGAATGAGTTTATTGGGCTTATTCACAGAGTATGGGTGAGGGGATATTTACAAAAACATGGATGACCCCAAGGTAAACATCCCTGAAAAGTCTCACCCCAGCCTGGATGGCAACTTCCCCATAGTTGCATAGATGGAGGCCCTGCTTCCCTTAACGGTCCACCCTCCTAATACTCTGGGGCTCCTAAGACCACAAGGCTATGTACAATTAAGGCAGAGTTGCTTGCAGCTGGCAAGGATGCAGAAGGGAGCAGTTGGAATCTCAGATAAGGGTCTAATGGCCCTCCCCACCCCTTCCTGCTATGAGGGAGCATCAACAGGCTTGACCTTTATGGGGGGGGTCGCTGGACCCCCGGCGTGGTCCTGGGGTCTCCGCCACACCTGGCTAGTCCCAGCGTGAGCCTGGCCACAAGCGATGTGGGGAGCGCACCTGGGCTCCCGGGCGCACTCACTCTGGATGTGGCTCGGCGGTGCGCAGACTTCTCTGGGAAGTGGCTGCTTCAGGTCCCCGTCTCTGGGAATAGCGGCAGCTGATGGCTACCACAGTTTCTGGTGCTAAGAGCTTCTCTGCTACTAGAGTATTATTCAGTCAGAATCCCGCCTCTATTACACCCTTGTACCTTTCGTCAGGATGGCGGAGTTCCTAGCCAGTGAACTCCACAGGGAAGAGGCTCGGAGTCGGCGAAAGCTGGGGTATCTGTGGGCCGATAACCGAGAGTGCTGCTCTCCAGTGAGATCAGGTCGCTGGTAGTAAGACACAGGACTCAAGGCACGGCTTAGTCTGTGTTTATAGCTTTATTGTATCTCTGCTCCTTGCTGTCCAGCTCTCTGCTGATCCAGCTTTCTGGGACCCAATCTCCGACTATTAAGAGAAGACTAGCATATTTATATACCATGGGGGTAGTGGTAAAAGCTTTTAGATACTTTGTGAGATATTCTATTTACATGTGGAAGTGGGTTTCTGCTAGACTATTGTCTACCTGTAAAAATCACACACAGGAAGGCATGGTATGCATAGAGCCAAAGGCCATGTTTATGTCAAGGCATCTGTGGCGGCCACTTCAAAGGGAGAGACAGGAAAGATGCCAGAAAGCACCTTGCTATGAAAAGGAGCCAGCAGCACATTCCCGAGCTGCATGAGCTGTCCGGTGTGAAGGGGCTTCGACTTTCGCATAACAGGTCTCCCAACAGACCTTGAAGGTCGCTTGTGGGCAATCACAGCTGCTCTGATAAAGATGGTAATAGTTTTACCTTTGGAGGACAGTGTTCTATAACTGTGAGCCTGAAGCCCCGGTAGCACAGAGGACTTAGAGGAGAGTGTGGTAGGAGGTAGGGAGGGAAAGATTCAAATCACTCAAAGCTCTGGACAGATACCTCACTCCTATAAAAGTTAACTTGGTCTGTTCTGGTCTGTTGGAAGCTATTATTTTAAGCACAGCCATTGTGTGCACTGAGCTGTGGCAGGTTGCCTTGACTCTAGAATTTGTGTGTTTTGCACACAAGTATCATATTGTTCTGCCAAGTCAGGAAGAATGTATTGATATTCTAGGGTGGACAGGTAAATGGTTGAATTCACAACAAGTATTTGACCGTTCCTTTACTCTCAGGAGGAGGTGGGAAAAATAGCTGTTGATGCCAATTCAGCTAAGCAAACTGTGGCTGTCTGATGTTCTGCTGTATAAGAAGGCTGAGCTAAAATAAACCGGGGCTGCAGTCTCTACTGACAGTCTCCCAAGTATTTTCCTCTGTTTCTTATTTTTCTTTCAGTCCTCACTCCCCTTCTCAGGTGCTGTTCGTCTTGGCTGGCTCGTACCGGCACTGGTCCAACCGGGTCGTTGGATTTATTTAGGTCATCCTATAAACCACAGCTTCCCTCACTTAGCAAGATTTGAGTCTTTGCCTACATCTATGTACATGCACCATGTGCATGTCTGATGCTCATGGAGGCCACAAGAGAGTGTCGGATCCCACTATTGTTAGTGTCATGTTGGTACTGGGAACCAAACCTGGATCCTCTGCAAGAGCATACAGTGCTCCTAATCACTTAACTATCTCTCCACCACCACTTGCCAAGTTTTATCCAGTCCCAGCCAGCTTAGACCACTCAGACTGACTGCATCTCAACTGGGCTAGCCTCCTCCAGTAGGGGCTAGCCTCAGCCAGCTGGAGCCAGCTTTCTCATACAGGTTAGAGGACATCAAGGGCGGAATAAAGAGCCTCTCCATGCAATTCAGCAGGTATTTGCTGTTTGGGGTATATAGGATGCAGTGGTAAGCTACACCCCAGCCTGCCTGTGAGAACTTCTCAGGCTGGTGGAAGGTTGAGGTTCTAGAAAACTAGATCTTCCAGCCCTCTGCAATTCAGTAGCTTTGTCTCTTTAAGAAGGGGCCCAACAGGGACTGGAAAGATGGCTCAGTGGTTAAGAGCACTGGATGCTCTGACAGAGGATCTGTATTTGATTCCCAGCACCCACATGCCAGCTAACACCAGTTCCATGGGGCTCCAACAGTGTCTTCTGACCTTCACAGGCATTGCACGACACAGATGCATTTACACACAGACAAAATACACACAACTCTGGGTTGGTGCATGCTTGAAATCCCATCACTGGAAAGGTAGAAATCGGCAGATCCTTGGGGCTCACTGTAGACAGCACCTGAGGGACAATATTGGAGGTTATCCTCTGGCCTCCATGCACACACACTTGCACCTGCACACACACAAACATACATACATGTGTGGTGTGTATGTGCTTGGGCAAGCAGAAGTGCACAAAAGAAGTAAGTTGGAACATTGCTGGAAAGGATTCCTAGCCAAAGTTGCAAGGCTCAACCTCATTGGCCCAAGTTGGGTCACATGTGTATTCCTGAGCTGTTTGCTGTGGTCAGGAGTATGGCATATTCTCACTGACTGCTACTAGAACCAGGGTTGTCCATCTCTAGGGTTGGAGGGGAGTGGGGCAGGCACAGCTAGTGGCCATTAATCATTTTAACATCTCCTCCTACCTCCCATCCCACAGACACACGGCAGAGTTTTTGCTTCACCCGTTTTGACTCTGGGAAGTGTTTGGTGGCCAAAGCTTTCATTGCCACCGAGACCCGGTGCTGCTGCAGCAAGAGACCTGGGGAGGGCTGGGGTGACCCCTGTGAGCTGTGTCCTCAGGAGGGCAGTGGTGAGCTGCCATCCTGTCCCCAGACCTCTCTGAGCCTTCCTGACCAACTGCACCTCCTTCCTCCTCTAATCTTCCCTCATCTTTCATAGGGTACTGGGGACTGCTTTGCTGGAAATTTTGATCCTGTTTTCTTCCCAGTTACTTTTCAGAAACTCTGTCCCTTTGGCCATGGGGCAGTCCCAGGCCCGGATGACTCCAGAGAAGGTGAGACCTGCCTTTAAGTGTTAGGAATGACTCCCTCCTGTTTCTGCTCTGCCTGGATCCTCAAGTCTTAGGTTCCACAAGTTGCCCTAGGGCTCCCATAGTGACAGGTGCTGTGTCTTAACTCCTGCCACTTGCAGATGTGGATGAGTGTGTGGAGAACCCGGGCATCTGCACTAACGGCTTCTGCCTCAACACTGATGGCTCCTTCCGATGCCAGTGTCCCTTCGGCTACAGCCTGGACTTCACTGGCATCAACTGTGTGGGTGAGTGGTCAGCAAGCCACTTTCCTCATTCATGCATTCTGTCTGTCTTAATTTCATTGCTGTTGCTGTGGCAAAATATCCTGACAAAAAGGCCACTTAAGGAAGAAAGGGGTTGACATCAGCTGACAATGCCAGACTGTAGTCCATCATTGTGGGGAAGTCAAGGCAGGAATTTCAAACAGCTAATCACATTACAGCCACAGTCGAGGGCAGAGAGAAATGATGCACGCATACTCACTTGCTTGTACTAAGCAGGATTTCTCCACTTACACAGTTAAGGACCCACTGTATGAGGACTGGTGTTTTCCACAGTGGGCAGGGGCTTCCCACATGAATTAACAAGACATGCCCACAGGCCAACCCAATGTAGACAATCCCTCATTCAGACTCTACTCAGGTGATTCTAGGTTGTGTCAAGATGACAAAGTTAACCATCATTCTCTCATTTCCTTCCTTCGTCCACTCATTCATTTCCTGTCATTTGATCACTCATTCACTTGTTTGGTCACTTACTCAATTACTTCACTTATTCATAATGCAGTCATTTCTTCATTTTTCCATTTTTCCTCATGGCTGTTCACTTATCCAGTTCCCTGATTCACCTGTGTGTTCATTCAGTTACTCTGTCTTCCTTATTTATCCCTTCTTCTCTTATCTGCTCCTTCCTCGTTCACTCACCACTTGGCCACTCAGTCCCTTGCTCACTCCCTCATGGTTCACTCATTCAGTTGCTCGTTTCTCATGTTTTCATTTACTGCTCCAGCTACTCTTTCATTCATTCCCCTCACTATTCATTTATTACCTTATTCATTTATTCTCTCCTGTGTGTGCACTCAATAGCTTTCACTTGTTCATCCATTCATTCATATGCTTTTTAAATTATTATTATTTCCATCATTGTTTATTTTTGAGATTTTTATAAAATATATTTTTATCATATTGGGATTCTCTCCCCATCTGCACCCGGCTTACTACCCCACCCAATTTCATGTACTCTAATATATATTAGAGTCTATAGAGTCAAATTTGTGTCCCTAAATGTCCTTCAGTGTGGTTCCATCCACTGGAACCTGGGCCACCTACCATGAGTCTAATCCTTAAATGACACTGAAGCTCCCCCTCCTGGCAACCATTGGTTACCAATACTTCCTCATGTAGGGTTCGGGTTTCTTACCCACTTCTCCAAGTCTATGCTGGGATTTTGTTGGACTTGAGCTTATGTGGGACTTGTGCATGCTATCACCATTGCTGTGAGTTCATATGAGCAGCTGCCCAGCTAAAAATTTATTTTATTTTATGTGTATGAGTGTTTACCTGCATGTATGTAAGTGCATCACATGTATGTATTACCCACAGAGGCCATAAGAGGGCTTTGGATCCCCTAGAACTAGAGTTAAGGACAATTGTCATCCATCATGTGGGAACCAAAGCTGGGTCCTCTGCAAGAACAGCCAGTTCTCTTAACCACTGAGCCATCTCTCCATCCCCAAGATTTATTTTTTTTAATTATGTGTCTCTGTGTGTGTGCATGCATGTATGTGTGTGCATGTGTGTGTGTGCAAGTGCCTTCAGAAGCCAGAAAAGGGTACCAGATCCCTTGGAAATGGAGTTAGAGGTGGTTGTGAGCCACTGATGTGGGTACTAGGAGTTGAACTCAGGCCATTTGCAAGAGAGCGTGTGCTCTTAATTACTGAACCATCTCTTCAGCCCTTCATGTGCTTGTTGCTTGTTTCTTAATTCAGTACCTGACCCTTTTTTTTTTTTTTTTTTTTTTTTTGGATTTTGGAGACAGCCTCAGCTGTCCTGGAACTCCCTTTGTAGACCAGGCTGGCCTTGATCTCACAGAGCTCCACCTGCTTCTGCCTCCTGATTGCTGGGATTAAAGGCATGGGCCCCAGATCTGGCTTGACCTTTTTTAAAATTGTTGCTCATTCATTCATCCCTTGCTCATTCATTCACTCATAGACTCACAAATTCATCCAATCACTCATTTTTCATTTAATTATTATTCACTCCCTTGCTTGCTCATGCCTTCACTCCTCTATCTACTCCTTCACTCATTCATGTACCTTCATTCACTTATTCACTTAACCCTTCATTTACTGTCTTTCTCACTAATTCATTCACCTATTCACATCATTATTCATTCATTTGTTTAGTCATTTGCTTACTCATGCATCCCTATATCACACTTTCACTCATCTACTCTAACTCATTTATTCACTTAATCCTTCATTTACTCTCTTGATCACTCATTCATTCACCTATTCACTTCATCATTCATTTTCCCCATTGCTCATTCATTTACTCACTAACTAGTCAGTCAGTCACTCATCACTCTCATCTGTTCATCTATTCCTTGCTCATCCATTCTTTTCTTCGATCACTCACTCATCTACACTAACTCACTAACTCATTCATTCACTATTCTATTCATCATTCATGTATTCACTTGCCTCTTGCTTAGTGGTTCACTAAATTTATGTACTCAGTGGTCACTCATTCATTCATTTAGTCACTTAGTCATTCATCCCTTGCTTATTCATTTGTACATGTACTCACCAGCTTATTCATTCATCCATTTACTCCCTTTGCACACTCATTCATTTCCTCACTTTCTTGTTCATTCATGTTCTACTCATTCATTCTTTGAACACATACCCATTGCCTGTCCCACAGCCAGTATGGACCTACCACAGATCTTGCCCTATCCAGTCTGTGGCAATCAAAGGGACACACAAAGAACAATGTTGAGGGTGGGGACCTCCCTGCAGATGCTGACTTCCCACTCCTTTATCCCCAACCAGACATAGATGAATGCTCTATTGGGCATCCCTGTGGGCAGGACAGTTGTACTAATGTCATCAGAGGCTTCAGATGCACCTGGGCAGATGACTTTGAGGCTGGCCCCATGATGACCTGTGAAGGTATGATGCTGCCTGATCAGGACCTGGGCTGGATGATGAAGACCTCCAGGGGCTATTCCACAGGAAATATCAGGGGTCCACTAGACAGACCCTTCCCAGCTGACACCTCTGCTGGCCTCCACAGACACCAACAAGTGTACCCTGAACCCACTACTATGTGTTTTCTGTTGCCACAACACTGAGGGCTCCTACCTCTGCACCTGCCCAGCTGGTTACACCCTGTGGAAGGATGGTGCCATGTGCCAAGGTAGGCTCTGCACAAACCAGTGATGGGAAGGTCTCTGTGACTCCCCACCACTGATCTTATGATCCCCACAGTGTGTAGATAATATTGGACCAAGAAAGGCTCCGGCTTCCAGCAGATCCAGATGTAGTCTCGTCACTTCCATTTTCTGTCTATAAGTGGAGCTTGAGCTCTGGAGGGTAGGCCTGGGCAGGAAGGGAGCTCACACTGCAGAGAGCTGACCCATGACATGCAGTAAGCACTTTGCTTTGGAGGAGATGTGGTGTCAGTTAGTTTTCTGCTACTATAACTGATTGCTATAGACCAGGTAACTGATAAAGAATAGAAATAAGAGACATAAGATATGGCTCATTGGGTAAGAGTGCCTGCTGCATTAGCAAGAGGACCTGAGTTCAGATTCTCTAGCACCCCCATGAAAAGCTGAGTATAGGAGCTCAGAGATGGCTCAGTGGTTAAGAGCACTGAATGCTCTTACAGAGGACCCAGGTTCAATTCCCAGCACACACACGGCAGCTAACAACCATCCTTAACTCCAGATCCAGGAGATCTGACACCCTCTTCTGGCCTCTTTGGGCTTTACATTACATGGGTGCACTTACATATATGCAGGCAAAACACTCATATGCATACAATTTAAAAAATAAATAAAAATAATAAAAACGTTAAGCATGACCACATTCAGGCCTGAAACCCCAGTGCTGTAAGGAGCACAGGAGGATTACTGGGGCTTGCTGGCCACCAGCCTAGCTCCAGATTCAGTGAGAAATTCTGTCTGAAGGGGTATAGTGAAGAGTGAGACCAGGACATGTGAAATCATCATCTGGTCTATGTGCTTGTGCACAGGCATACACACACACACACACACACACACACACACACACAAACTAGCAATATATTTGGCTCTTGGTTCTCGTTGCTGGGAATTCCAGGATCCATCAGGGAAGGGCTTCCAAGTGGCATCACAGCATGACACAAACCATCTCATGGCAAGACAAAACAAAGTGCTAGTTCAAGTCTGTCCTTATAAAGCCACTGATACCATCATGGAGGCCCCACCCTCAAGACCTCTTCTAATCCTATTACTTCCCAAAGACTCCAGCTCTAAACCATCACTGTAAAACTTTAGGGATTTAAGTTTCTAACACTTGAGTTTCAGGAGGACACCTGGTCCCAGAAAGGGCCCTGGGGGATGATATCTAAGGCCCTCCCAGCTGGAGCCAAGCAGTGAAATGCTTGACCTTGACCAACCCACTGTCCCTGGTCATCCAAAGATAGGAATGAGTGTAAGGATGGGTCTCAAGATTGCTACAACCTTGTCATGCTGTGCAAAAACCTCATTGGCACCTACACCTGCATCTGCCCACCAGGCATGCAGCCCCAGCCCTCTGGAGAGGGCTGCACAGGTATGGGTGTGTCCAGGATACAGCAGACCCTCCACAGAGAGGGGATTCAAAGCAAGGGGGCACCTTCGAGGCTGAGGGAGGTTGGCTCTTGGACTTTGACTCCCCTTCTGGTCTCCCTTATCCCTCCCATCTCAGGTGAGGATGAATGTCAAGCCAAGTCCAGCCTCTGTGCCCATGACCACTGCATCAACACGGTGGGCAGCTTCTGGTGCAACTGTGACAAAGATTTCCGGCCCAAACCCACCCTCACAGAGTGCCACGGTGAGTGTGACCAGGGCCAAGCAAAGTGAACACAGCCATTCATCACATGTCATGCATTTCACTGGGGAGGTCCCTGAGACAGGGATGAGGAAATTCTGAGGTATGACAAGGGTTGTTGTACCAATCTGGCCACATGCGCATGAGTACACACACGCTTTTGTCCCGCTTGATAGAACTCCATAGAAAAGTCAATACCTCCTTCTTTCCACCCACCTCCCATTATTCCTCCAACTCCAGAGGCATCGCCCCAAAATGAGCTCCTCTGGGGTTTCCCACAACCATGCCTGTACCATCTGCCTTGGGCACCGACATGTGAGCCAACGCCACACTCTTCTTTCCTCCCCGGGGACAATGCCTTACATCTAGCTTCAGGACACATGTAAGTATCCAGCTGCCTCCTAGGCGCCTCTATTTCCAACACCCAACAATGTAGCTCATCCCAAAATACACTCAGCATTTCAGTGGTACATCCCCCAAGCCAGTGTCTTGGAGTAGCCAGTGCCTCCTCATCCAGTCTGTACTCAGCCCTCTCTTTTCACCTATCTCCTATTTAATTTTTCTTTTTTAGTTCTTTTTATTTTATATGTATGAATGTCTTGCCTACATGTATGTAAGTGCACCCACGGACACAATGCAATGCCTATGGAGGCCACAAGAGGACATTGGAGCCCTTGGAGCTGGAGTTATGAATAGTTAACCACATGTGGTTCCAGGAACCAAACCTGAGTCCTGCGCAAGAGCAGCCAGTGCTCTTAACTGCTGAGGTATCTCTTTAGCCTGTATTTTATTTTTCTTAATTCTATTTTATTACAGGCTTTTTTTTGAGACAGGATATCTCTGTAGCCCAAGCTGGCCTGGAAATGGCTATGTAGACCAGACTGGCTGCAATCTCACAGAGATCTGCCTGCCTCTGTCTCTCCAATGCTGGAATCAAAGGTGTGTCACAATGCCCGGCCTTTACCATCTTATTTATTATTAATGTGCAGGTGTTGGGGGGACATGTGTGGAGATTTGAAGAAAGCTTATAGTTGAATCTTTCCTCCATCATGTAGGCTCTGGGAATCGAACTCAGGTCATCAGGCTTGGCAGCAGTCACCTTTACCGACTGAGCCACCTTGCCAACCCTGATCTTATTTTTTCCCTGTTGTTCTATCTCAAGCATCAGCACTTTCTACCCACCCCTCTTGCTTCCCTGCTGCCCCTTACCTGCACAAAGACATTGCCCTTTGGCCACCTAAGGCCAGCCAGCCTAGCCTGGGGGCTATACTGATATTTGGGTGGATGGGTACCTTCTGCCCCCTACCTCTTTTTTTTGGAGAGTGTCTTACCATGTCCAGTGATGATAGAAAGAGTTCACACTGTACACATATGCCTGGCTGCCAGGCATCCTGGGGAAGGGAGGTCTTGAGCAGAGCACGTCTCCAGCCCACCCTCCCTACCCATTCTCTGCAGACATCCGGCAGGGGCTCTGCTACTCTGAAGTGCTACAGGCCATGTGCCAGAATTGGTCGAGCAGTGGTGAGGCTGTTCCCAAGACCATGTGCTGCTGTGGGGGTGGTCGGGGCTGGGGGCCTCACTGCGAGCTCTGTCCCCTGCCTGGCACCTCTGCCTACAGGAACCTCTGCCCCCATGGCACAGGCTATAACACTGAGGGCAAAGGTGAGTGTCCTTGAGTTATGCAAAGGTGAGGGCAATGTATGGTATGTGTTGTATGTGTGCCTGTGTGTGTTGTGTGGGGGGGGTGTCTGTGTATGTAAGTGTGGTGTGTGTATGGAATATGTGTGGTGTGTGTAGTGTAGGGTGGTGTGGGAGGTGTGGGGGAGTGGTGGCAGGGATGTATGTGTGTGTTTATGTGTGTATGCTGTGTGTTTGTGTGGTGTGTGTGGTGTGTATATGTATGTGTGGGTTTGTGTGGTTTGTACACAGTAGATGAATGGTGTTGTGGTATGTGTCTGTGTGTGGTATGGATATGTGTATTTGTGTATATGTAAATGCGTGTGACGTATGTTTTTATGTGTAGTGTGGTGCAGATGGTGTGTCTGTGTGATGTATATGTGTGTGATGTGGTTTTGTTTGGTGAATGTGGTATATGATGGTGTGTGTGGTGTGTATGTGGGAGGGTATTGGGGTGTGTAGTGTATGTATGTGTGCTGTGTGGGTATATATGTGGAATGGGGGGAGGGTGTTTGTGCTTACTCAGTCAAAAGAAACTCCATCAGCATGCCCTGCTGGCTCAGGGATGCATGCAAACCCAGGGTGGTATCCATCCCTGTGGGCTGGAGTGGAGGAAGGGAAAGGATGCCTGGGCTTGCTTCTGAGGAGAGGGGCTGGTGGGTAGAAGGAAGGAGCCCTGCTTCAGTGGAACAAGACAGCCAACCAGCCCGAGCCCTGCCCTACTTGTCCCTAGACATGGATGAGTGCCTCATGCTCACTGATCAATGTGCCCATGGGGAGTGTATCAATAGCATTGGCTCCTTCCACTGTCACTGCCAGGCTGGGTACATACCAGATGCCACTGCCACTACCTGCACAGGTGAGCCAAGCCCCACCCCACCCCACACCCTGGTCTAGTTAAACCTCTGCAAAAAGTTCCTAGCCCCCACCTCTGCAGGGTCTACTTTTGTGTCTCTTGGTTTCCATGTACCAAGTAGTCCCCACGTCCTAAGGCAACCAGAAAAGACCAGAAGCAAAGTTCTTTGGCTTCTCCGTCCTGTGTGGAACACACTCCTGCTCTTCTTTCCTCCTGTTTTTCCATAAGTCCTGAAATTTCTTTTTCAGTTACACTGTGTAACAGGTGTTCCTCCAAGTCACAGGCTATAAACTCCAACCTGAGGGCGAAGTTGTAAATAAGGTTTTATTGACACACACTCCTGTGTGTTTGCTTGTCTTTGGTGACTACTTTCCTGATAAGAAGGCTGCATTAACTAGTTGTGATTATGACAATGTAACACTAAAGGCAAACAGTCAGTTATCTCTCAGTAACCAAGGGGGATTTTTCCAATATACAGCCCCCCATCAGATATGAAATCCATAAAATTGTATCACTGGAGCTGGAGCAATAGCTCAGCTGTTAAGAGGGCATTGGACCCCCTGGAATTGGAGTTACAGAGCATTGTTAGCTGCCATGTGGGTGCTGGGAACTGAACCAGGGTCCTCTGCTCTTAACCACTGAGCCCTCTATCTAGTCCCTGATGTCTTAACCTTAATTCATTGATCTAATACAGTTCAACAGTTGTGGCCTCTATTATTTAAGGAAACTGTAAGAAAACAATCTGTATGTGTTCAGTACAGGCACTTTTTTTTCGAATATTTTCCATTGTTGTTAGTTGAATCCTTTCGTATTCTGTTTGCTAGTTGGCTTTTTATTGAAAAAGTATGGGCAACTATGTAGCTCAGTGCTAGAGCTCCTTCCTATCATGTGCAAGCATGAAGTCCTGGCTTTGACGCCCACCAACACATAAAAATAAAAAATAAGGCCAGCAAGATGGCTCAGTGGGTAAAGGTACTTGCCACCAAGCCTGATTACATGAGTTTGAACCCTGGGACCCACATAGTAGAGGAGACAGCTGAATGCTGGAAGTCATTCTCTGACCTCCATAGTCACAGTGAAACAAATACCCACACACACACACACACACAAGGCGCATGCCACCAACCCTTATGACCTGAGTTCAGTTCCAGGACCCACATGAGGTAGGAGAGGACTGACTACTGAAAGCTGACTTTTGACACCACACACACACACACACACACACACACACACACACACACACACACCACAAATAAATTTTAATAGTAAAAAGTGGATACACTAATGTAGTTCCACAATTTTGGATAACCAGAGTGTGAGAAGGGGACTCCTGCCTCTGACGCCCCATCATACCTTATAATGTTGGCCTGTTTCTCTCATACTCTGCCATCCCACCTAGATTTGTTTGAGTGCAGCCAGGACCCCAAGCCGTGTTCCCTCCACTGCAAAAACAGGGACGGCAGCTTCCTGTGTGCCTGCCCCGGAGGATATCTGCTGGAGGAAGACTGCAGGATCTGCAAAGGTGACACCTTCCCTCTTTTACCCCAGTGCTCCTGCACTCCTCCCTGCCTGTTGTTGGTCTGACACCCTCCTCTGCTCAGGGCTGACCCCCCACATCCACAATACATGTCTTGCTGCTCTGCTGCCTGCCAGTGACAAGAACAGCACCAGGCCCCACATCTGAGCATGGAGCCCCGAGTCCCACCTCAGGCCTGGCCCCAGCTTTGCTCCCTGAGCCCCTTCCCTCACCTCAAGCCCACTCCCTGAGCCACATCCCCTTCACACACACCCTCAAAACCACCCCCTGAGCACCCCCGCACTGACAACCTCAAACCCACCCTGTAAACCAACCCCCTGCACACCCTCAAGCCTGTCCCCAGGCCCCCACCCCCTGAGCCTCTGGGCCCCTCTGTGCTGCAGACATAAACGAGTGCACCTCCAGGCAGCACAATTGCCAGTTCATCTGCATCAACATCATGGGCGCCTTCACCTGACACTGACCTCCTGGCTTCACCCAGCACCACCAGGCTTGCTTTGGTGAGTCACCTGAAACAGACACACGATAGATTGTGCACAACCTCAACCTTGACACATTTATGATACGAAAAAAGTATCAAGCACTCATGTGTGTTAGTGTGTCATGCATGAGCACAGAGGGTGATTGGAACACAGTCCCTGCTTGCGGGATGCTTTCAACCTGGTAGAACCTTCTTTATGGCCCTAAAGAGATGCAAGGCCCACCATCAAAAATCCCTCTGGCCTGGCCACGGGACAGCCCCTCTTGCCCTTGACTCTGCCTACCAAGCATGCTTTCCAAACTGCAGGGTTTCACACAATTGCTTCAAGAGAAGTTGGTTTGGAAGCCACAGCCACAAAGATAAGTGCCACAGTTGGGACTTCTTGTGTCTTGTGGCTCGGAGAGAACCAAAACTTCCTCTCTGCCTAGCCCAGTCAAGGGCAACAGCATTCAGGCGCCATTGACCTCAGCCAGAGCTGACTTCTCAGTGGGCACCAGCTGTGCAACCAGGCAGTGTTTCTGATGTGGAAAGATGTTCACAGAATATCCCATTTTTACATTGTTTATGTGTATGAGTATTTTGCCTGCGTGTGTGTTAAGTGTACCACATGGGTGCAATATCTGCAGGGGCCAGAAGAGGGTGTCAGATCCCCTACAACTAGACTTACAGGTGGTTGTTAGCTGCCATGTGGGTGTTGGGAACTAAACCAGGTCCTCTTCAAGAGCAGCCACTGCTCTTAACCACTAAGCCATCTCTCCAGACTCAATATTGTTTTTTCAATAATTAATAAACAGCCAGACACTACTGAGAAGGCAGAGACAGGAAGATCCCAGGGGCTCACTGACCCGCTAATTTAGGCAAATCAATGAACTCCAGGTTCAGAGAGAGACTGATGTCAACCTCTGACCTCCACATGCAACTCCACACACCCTGCACACACAAATAATAATTTTAAATCACTGGAGCTGGGGAAATGGCTTAGTAGTTAAAGCACTTGCTGTGCAAACTTAAAGACTGGAGTTCTGATCCCCAGAACCCACATAAAATGCCAGATGGGTATGGTGCCCACCTGTAATTGTAGCCTGGGAAGGGGGAGACAGGGGACTGGCTGGCATGAGTAGTCATATCAGTGGCTCTGGGTTTGATTGAGAGACCTACCTCAATGAATAAAGTAGAAGAGCGATAAAGGATGGTTCCCAATGTCAATCACAGGCTTTCCTCATGTATCTGCTCTTACACACACAGGTACACAGACGCATGCAAACACAAACACGAATTCACAACACATGCATGAAAATGAAAAAATTTTAATTAAAAAAATGTAAACGTACACTAGTTGGCTAAAACTAGAATGATTTCTTATCCATCAGCTTTGAGGATAGAGTTCCAAGATCAAGGTACCAGCATGGTTGGTTCCTAGCAAGAGCTCCTTCCTAGGCCTGCACACAACAACCTTCTTCCAGCCACACATGATGGAGAGAGACAGTATCAGATAGACAGACAGGCTATAGAGCAGGATTTCTGTCTGGTGTCTCCTTTTTTCTTTTTTTCTTTTAAACTATTTTATTTTACAGGGCTAGAGAGATGGCTCAATGGTTAAGAACACTGGCTGCTCTTGCAGAGGATCTAGGTTCAGTTCCCAGCACCCACATGGCAACTAACAACTGTCCTTAACTCCAGTTCCAGAGAATCTGACACCCTCTGCTGGCCTCCACAAGCATTGCAGGTAAGTGGTACACTTACATACATGCAGACAAAACACCAATAATACACATAAAGTAAAATATTAGGACTGGAGAGATGGCTCAGCAGTTAAGAGCACTGGCTGCTCTTGCAGAAGACCTGGCTTCAAATCTCAGCACACACATGACAGCTACCAACCCATCTATAACTCCAATTCCAGGGGACCCAACCCCCTCTTCTATCCTCCGAAGCCATTGCACAACACAGGTGCCTTACATACATGCAGGCATAACACTCATACACATAAAATAAGAATAAATAAACCAAAAGTTTTTTTAAAAAATAAAGTAAAATATTAAAAATAAAAACAATTTTTAAAAAATTATTTTATTTAGGATGAAAGTATATGTTTGTGTGGGCATGTGTGTGCCATGGCATGTGTGTGAAGGTCAAAGGACAGCTTGCCAAAGTCAGTTCTCGCCTTCCACCATGTGGGTCCTGGGAATGGAACTCAGGATATCAGACTTGGCAGTAAGTGCCTTTATTGGCTAAGTCATTTCATCGTCACCCCATCCCCTGCTCCCTTTATTTTTGTATTATTTTTATTTTATGTGTATATTGCCTGCATGTATGTGAGTGCACCCGTGTCATGCAATGCTGCGGAGACCAGAAGAGGGCTTCGGATTCCCCTGGAACTGGAGTTAAGGATGGTTTGTAGCTGCCATGTGGGTGCTGGGAACTGAACCCAGGTCCTCTGCAAGAACAGTCAGTGCTCTTAACCGCTGAGCCATCTCTCTAGCCCCTTTATTTTATTTTTATTTTATGTATATGAGTGCTTGGTCTGCATGTATGTAAGTGTACCATGTGCCATGTGTGTACAATACCCTTCTGTAAGACCAGAAGAGGGTGGGTTCTCTGCAAGAGCAGCCAGTGCTGTTATCTCTCCCGCACCACCCTCTTTTCTAATTTTATTTTTTTTTAAGATAAAATCTCTAACGAAGCTCACTAAATAGGCTACGCTGGGTAGACATCACTTTCACCCCACCACCCCTACCTCACCACTACCCTACCCCC